TTTTTTTTTTTTTTTTTTTTTTTTTCCGCCGAGCTTAACTTTTTGATTTGTTTTTTTTTTTACATTGCAGAGCATGGCAAGGAACCAGATTTGGTTACCACCCAGGCAACTGGCAAAGAGAGGAAAACAAAAAAAAAAAAAAAGACCTGATTTTTATTCTATTTTTTAAATTATGACTGCCTGTGAAAAATGTCCCACTCAGATTTTTATCATGTTTTTCTTTTTAATACCCTTCCAAAAACTAAGACAGGTAATTTTTTTAAATTAAATATTTCATATCATATTATTTTTTTGACCCTTCACATGATTTTTTTTTAATTTTTATTTTTTATGGTTGATGGTCAGTGTGCTGTGAATATTTAAAAATTTATTTCATGTATTCATTTATTTGCCCTCAATAAAAACGATTTTTACATTAGTTGTGACTATCAAACCATTCGCATCCCCCAATTTATTGCGTCTGAAGGCCTTCTTTTGCTCCCCAAACCTTCTCCGCGCTCGGCCGGCCTCGTCTTTTAAATGTTAATTGAATGCTATGTCATAACGTAGTGTCACATGGAGCATTCAGTCACGCTCTGCTTTGTCTTCATTTACATAATACTGCGTTTCCACACACACACACACACACACACACACACACACACACACACACACACACACACACACTGAATGATTGCATATGAATTATTCAGCCAATCACACAGATGAACACACTGCGCCCTGATTGGGACGTGCTGGGGTGTTGACGCCCGGATGCGGCACGCCATACCTGTCTGCCGTGTGCGCGCGCGGGCTAGTGTGTAATGAAACATGACACACAACAGGACCTCCTGCGATTGAAGGCTAATATCGAAAAACGTCAATATTAGCCCCCGAGGCTGCCTTGAGGCACTCTAAAATGTCTTTCGACTTGTTTTTCCCAGAGATGTTAGAGTCCAGCAACCTTGTGAGCTTCGCCGGGCTGGCCAACAGCTCCGGCTACGACACCTTCCTGCTGGACGAGGAGCGAGGCAGGCTGCTGGTCGGCGCCGAGGACCACATTTTCTCTTTCGACCTGGTCAACATCAGCAGAGACCGCAAACAGGTACCTGGCTTAAAAAAAACTAACCTGACGACGATTTTTGTTATTCTTTGGGGAGGCTGGAACGGATTATGGCAATTCCATTCATTTCGGTGGGGGGAGATGATTTGAGCTTTGAAGTCTATTCCATTTCCTCCATAATTCCATTAGCCCACCTGCTGGAGGTTAACAGTCTTTTTTTTTATCTGATTTGAGCCACTGGAGTAGATGAGACTGCCGCTTTTTTTCCCCCGCAGGCTGCACGCTGATGAACAGAGGAATGAAAAGAGTGTAACCGCCTCCCCCCTACCCCACCACCACCCTTCTAGTACTCATCCGTGCGTCATTAGAATCTAAGAGCAGCGATTAGGCTGGTCCAAAAATTTGCAATGCAAAAATCGTACTCGGCTGATGGGCAAACAAATCCTCAGAAAGCGGCATATTCATCGTTCTTCGCAGACGATAAAGAATGTATGTCTTGGAATGCAAGGATGTTTGCGTGCATCCTGGTATTTGCTTATAGCCGTGTATTATTTAATTTTGAATTTCAGTGTCATGACATTCGGTTTGTTTTTATATCCTTTTTTTTTTTACCTTTTGTCATTTAATTTCATTAAATTCAGTTTTATTTTGTTGTGATATATAATTTTATATCATTTGTTTATATTTAATCTACTAATCAGGTTTGATTTAGCGTTGTGTGTCTCAGCAGTCACACACGTGGCGACGCTACGCTACGCTAATATGCTAGAGCATGTGCAAACGATCCTACGTTTCTCTAAGTACATAAAGAGTCAGCAAACGTCTCACTCACGGCCTGTTTATAATCTTTGTCTTTATAATTCATGTGCGCACATATGGATTTGCCAAGAGGACAATTTGAATGCATTATTCATACTTTTGTGTATTGTCTCTTCCAAGGCCCGCTCGTCTGTTCTCACGTCAGACGACAGCAAAGTGCGTCCATATGTTCGACTTGGGTATAAGGAACTTTAATAAGAACCATATCGAGTGTACGTACACGGCTTGGGCGCGTAAAAAAAGATTTCTGAAGTCAGACCGAAAGAAAGGAGCTCAGATTGAGCTCAAAAATGTTTCTTGAATTATACAAACGTGACTCACGGCATTCCTTTTTCATGAAACATTCAAGCGCTCCCTCTTTCCCTCCTTCCTCCCCTTGTTGTCTTTCTCTCTTTTTGTTTTTTTTTTTTCCTCCTCTACTTTGGGCTCCGAGTGACTTTGCGCACTTTGTCGTTTGCTCAGATCGCGTGGCCCGCCACCCCCTCCAAGCGGGACGAGTGCAAGTGGGCGGGGAAGGACCTCGGGGTAAGTCGTCTATTTTTTTGTTTGTTTGGTTTTTTTTGCTGCTTTTTTGGCGACCGCAATGATACGCCTGCCGCATGTTTGGCCTCCTGATTCACTCACTTTCATTTGGACTTTGTTGAACTCCACCCACGGGACAGCACATTAGGTACACATTTTCAAACCTATCGGAATGAGAAATAAAATGACACCTTGACAGAAATGCTCAAGGGGTGAGTGCATTTTTGTTGAAACATATTTTTGTCGTTTGTATGTTTGGGGAGAAGTCATTTCCATTTAAATTCTGACAAAAATTTCAAATGACAAAAGTGTCTTTTCATTCGTAATAAAAATTGATAACCACATAGAAAGGGGGCCAGTGGGTATTTATTTTTTTTTGTGCAAAAATGTTTATTCCCAAAATTATTTTTAAAAAATACAAATGATGAAGTGGCTAATGAGTGTATGTTTTGAAAGAATCTCCTTTCATTTTATTCAGATTTTGGCAGATAAAAAGAAATGAAACACTCCAAAGGAATAATAAAAAAAAATAGTCAGCCATTAGTCTGTTTTCAGACAAAGAGTTATTGTTTTATTTTCATGAAAAATAACAACAGTCGTAAAAAGGGGCCGCTGAGCGTTTGTTATTTTACCAAACCCCAAAAACTCATCATACTGTCAAGGGAGTGTAGTGAAGTGCAGAAATGTTTCCTATGTTGTTTGCCAACTCGCATAATTGCCGAATTTTCTAGACCGCCGTGATCTTGATGACTGACAATCTAAACAGGCGTACAGAAAAAAAAGAAAAGAAAAAAATGTAAGCACGCATGTTGCTATTTTCGATTGCTATTGTGACAGCGAGTAAAAATGACTTTGGCAATTCATGCTGTTATTTTAACGAAATACTTCATATTTTATGTGCATGCATTAGCAAAACTCTATTTACAGACATGCCCGCAGTAGGTTAAAGGGTGTACTTACAAAGCTATAAAGTTTTTTTTTTGTTGTTTTCGTTTTTTTTTCGCGCGTATAGGATCTGAAAATAACTACACGTCCCTTCTTTGTGTATCGTCTACGTAGCTATAATTCATACAAGAGTCACGAGTGATGTGGCGTGTTTCAAGCTAGCGCGCCAAAACAGATGTTGTTTGTCAGTATTTAAATGACAAGAGGACGTTGCGCTCCCGCACTCCCACAGAGGTTATTTCTTGCTGTTGTTTGAGGCCTATTTATACATGGATGCTTGTTTTAAGCGGGAATGTGTTAATTTGACCCAACACGTTTACTGGTGCCGGCCGGCTTTGTTTGCGTGGTGTGTTTGGATAGCTCGCCTCGCCTCGCCTCGCTCTCCGCGAACTTAATTTCACGCCTGGGTCGCGCGTCATCCGCCGTTACATTGGGCTTCAAAGCTCACCTCTGCCGTCGCCTGCGCCGCTCTCCGTTAGCCGCCGCCAAATGTTTACCTCCGAGTGCCGGCCGGCGGGAGCAGATGGAGCGGAACGCACCAGGCATCCGTCGGGACAATCCTCCCGACGCTCGCACTTTTCCAAAAACAATCCTACACCGGCGCAAAATTTACAGCAGCCCACGTTTCGCACGGAACAGCTGCGGAAAATTGCGGCGGCTCATCCCAAGATATACAAAATGACTCAGACAAACTTTCATCTGACCAAATATGTTTTCTCAAGTGTAAATATCTCTCCCAGCATGCACATTCAGGGTCCGCCTGTGCGTCCACCTCGACGGTGACCGACTTTGATCCAAATTGACCTCTTTACGGCGCCCACCGATGACACGACTGCCGCCCACGTCGCTAACGAATCCAACCCGAAGGCAGTCGTGTCAAGTTTTAAGAGGGGTCAACTTTGAGCGCACTGGGGGAGGTTTGACGTTTAAACGACGGCGTGACAATGATGTCATGTGCAGTAGGAAACGCAGAGGGGAAAATCATTAAGGGGCAGCGTATAGACTGTACGTATAAGCACGGATGAGGTCAGCCGCAACTCATCAAGTAAGATCTTAGGAGGGGGTCCCCCGGGTGAACTGGCCAAACGTTTAGCGCGCTAGTCGCGAGTAAAAATGTCAAAAAAAAGTCTTATCTTGCGGTTTCTTTTCTTTCTTTTTTTTCATCCCTACAACTGTATTTTAACCTGTGGCTAGCACCCATTTAGCTTCATAGCTGAATGGCAATTGAGCATGGAAATCTGGGCTCAGTCTTTCCAATGCTAGTTCATTCTGTCCATCAAAAAGTTTCCCGTGAAATGGGAATCCTTTCGTCGCAAGAATAATTCATGACATATAAACGTTAAACGACCTTTAGCGATCTCTGAGATGTGCACACAAAGCTAAACGATTAATGATCTTAGACTAGCATCCAGCTAGCTTAAAAACAAGCAAATGGGCAAATGTAGGATTTTTTTTTCCTCGAACAAAACACATTCTGTTCACCTAAAAGTTGTGTTTCCAATACAAAAGATAAATGCCCGCTATCGAAACAGGGCTCGCACCCATTTTGTGTTGTCGCTAGAATAAAGGACAAAGCTAGCCTAGTTCTGTACAAAGCTAACATAAAAGCATTCCGCTTCGAAGTGTTTTGCTTCTATACGTACCCCCCAAAGGCTTCCTTATGCAGTTTAAACAAATGAGCCTGTGGTCAGATTCTTTTACCATTTAGGGAGACTGTTGCTAACGTTCACACAAAGCTAAGGCGGCTGTCTGTCTATATTTGAATTACAGATGTTGTGTTTTCATCAGCGAGGGCAAATAAGTACAACCTGAATGTCTTGAGCACATGTGCCCAAATGGAGTCCATTAATAACTTTCCTAAGACGGCAGTCTTGCTGATTAGCGGGGCGCAAAACGACCTTGCGCCGTTGGGAATGTCTCGATGTGCCTTCGCGCCAAGCCAAATACCCCCAACATGTGGAACGTTCTCGATCTGAAGTGGATTTGCCTGATTTCTCTCACAGGTGGGATTTGCTTAAAAGGGAGCGGAAATTTCAGGGCTATTATTTTTTTTTCTTTCTGGGAAATCTCCCCCCTTTGACATGGAATCCCACCTGAAAGTGTTCTGGGCCTCTCCTTGTTCTATATTAGGCTCAATTTTCTGTCGCGCTTGTCTCAATTAGCGTCCATATCGTTTTCATTGACGATGATATTTTATGACTTACTCTAAAAAGTTTCACATGCGGATGTTCCCGTTTGCGTCTTTTTTTCCAGGAAGAGTGCTCGAACTTCATCCGCGTGCTCCAACCCTACAACCAGACCCACTTATTTGTCTGCGGCACCGGAGCCTTCCATCCCATCTGCTCTTACCTGGAAATGGGCAAGAAAGCCGAGGTAATGACTTTGAAACACGACGGACATTGTACAAGCAGCGTCGAATGTGCAAATCAACAGTCACGTCCAAAGATTTCATCAATTGGCCTGATTGACTCTTTCCTTCCGCAGGACAACATCTTCAGGCTCGCCTCGCATTTCGAGAACGGTCGCGGTAAAAGCCCTTACGACCCCAAGATGCTCTCGGCGTCCCTCCTGATCGGTGAGTCGGCTCTTTGGACCGTGACAACCGCACACTGCGCCGTTCGTAACGGCCGCTCGTTTTGTCCCCCCCACCCCACCGCCAGATGGGGAGCTCTACTCGGGCACGTCGGCCGACTTCATGGGGCGGGACTTTGCCATTTTCCGAACGCTGGGGGATCAGCACCCCGTCAGGACGGAGCAGCACGACTCCAGGTGGCTCAACGGTAAGCAAAGCGGGAAAACCGAAGCCGGGATCAGAAGGATTATTCGGCGCTATCGCTCAGCATTACGTCGGACTCGAGAGAACCTTTCCCTCGAGCCGCTTCAGCCGCCCCCCCCCCTCCGTCCACACTGCTTTCCCACACTACTAATCCACTCTCAGCTGTTTTCCTGTTGTGGAGTCAAATTCCACTTCTTCTTCACTGCCTTCAACAATCATCCATTCCAGAAGCCTCTGCGCCGCTGATGACATTTTGTCCTGACGTTAATCCCCCATCCATCTTTCACCTTGTAATGGTGGGGATTAAGAAAGTCGGGGAGATTCTATTCGGCATTTGTCATCGAGGGCTTCGTGTGTCACAAGGGCCAAAGTATTCGTCCAACTACAGGTGCTGAAAATTGGGGGAAACGCGGGTATTCTTCCAGTGTGCCGTTTGCCTCTCTGCATGCTGCGGCCTTCCAGTTTGCAACTCCACCCACCTGTAGTTTATGAAAGTGTCGATTTAACGGCCGCGTGTTCGCGATGGGGGCGTGCGAGGCGTCGATTCGTGGCAGCGGTCTCGCACCTGCCTCCAGCCGGGGGGCTTTATAAATCCACATCCCACTTGAAGGGTCCGCCGCTCTTTTTCACAGCTCCTCTGAATCCCCGAAAGGCGTAACATGGCACCGCTTGTTTCGCTCCAGCGCGCGACACCGTTTTTTTTTTTTTCCCTTCTCCCCTCGCCACTTACGAGCAGAAAATCTCCGGCCCTGGGCTTTGATTTCCTTCCGCTCTTAAAATCGAAGGAACAAGGCGCAATCAGAACCATGTGTCTTTGAGTGGTCGCGGTTTGGATGCGCGGTTTGGAGTGCGGGGTGGAGGTGGGGGGGATCATTTTCAGAGGTGTAAAATGGAGGTGAACCGCGTCCCTGGAACAGAGGTGGCTTTGTTCGACTCCTTTCACGGCTTACTTGGTTCACTTTTTGACCACGTTTAGACCCGAGATTCGTCGGCATTCACTTGGTCCCGGAGAGCGACAACCCCGAGGACGACAAGATCTTCCTGTTTTTCAAAGAGAACGCCATGGACGGAGAGCACACGGGCAAGGCCACCATCGCCCGGATAGGACAACTGTGTAAGGTAACGGAAACCGAGCCGCCGCCGCGACTGTTTCGAGATTCCCCCGGTTGCATGTTCTGCGGGTGCATCCGCAAGTGTGGCGGAACCCAGACAGTTCTTTTGACCAAAAAGAAAAACAAAACAAAAACATATATTAGTGCTGTCAAATGATTAAAATATTTCATCGCGATCAAATGCATAATTTCATAGTTAACTCAGAATTAGCCATAATTAATCACAGATTTTTACCTATTCTAAATTTCCTTTGATTTCTTTTTCCTCCTATTTTTCCCATTTTAATGCCCTCATCAACATGGAATCGTGGATCAGTTTTCTTGGTGCAAAATGCAAATATTTACTGAAACAATTTTTTACATTCACATTTTTCACTTGGGAGCAGTTATTCAAACTGGGAGCACATATTATGATTTTAGAGCAGCGTAAGATCCGCTGTGACGTGGTGCCGCATTAATCTCGCGCTAAAAAAAAAATTAATCGAGTTAAAAAGGTTTGAAATTCATGACGATAATAACGCCTTAAACTGACAGCACTAATACAGTTGAGTGTGTTCGTATTGCTGTCGAATGTCAAAACAGGTGAAGCGTGACGTCTAACTTTGTCTTTGTCTCCAGAACGACATGGGAGGCCACCGCAGCCTGGTGAACAAGTGGACCACCTTCCTCAAGGCCCGGCTCACGTGCTCCGTGCCGGGCGTCAACGGCATCGACACGCACTTCGATGAGCTGCGTGAGTTTCCCCAACTCCGAGGCGCTCTGGAAAAAGCTCTCCAAAATAACATTTCCGCATCCTCCTTTTTTTTTTATTTTCCCCTTCCAGAGGATGTTTTCCTCATGAGCTCCAAAGACCCCAAGAATCCGCTGATCTACGCCGTTTTCACCACGTCCAGGTATCCCGTCATCATTGACTCGTCGGCGTGTTCTCGGTTTACCCGCGGGCCCCCGTTTTCCGCCCCAATCAGATCACAACCAAAAAAAAAATGCGACTGCTTCGGCCGGTTGCGAGAACTCATTCGCATGTTGCAGCGAACGGCAGTCCAACCACTCCACCATCAATCACCGCTAATGAAACGGCGGCGGCTCGTATTCAAGCGGAGAGGTCAAGCCGAACACACAGACACACAAAAGAGACGCACGCGGAAGCGCGCGTTCAATTCAATTAAGCGGCATCGGGGACGACAAGAGACTTAATTGGTTTTCTAAGCGGCCAGTTTCCCCGAGATGAATAGAGCGGAGCTTCTTTTAATATGGCTGCTTAATGGGGCGCCGCCATTGACAGATCAATGTTTGATTGAGCGTGCACGCGTGCGTCTGTTTAGAACGGAATCGCGCGTGTGTGTGTGTGTGTGTGTGTGTGTGTGTGTGTGTGTGTGTGTGTGTGTGTGTGTGTGTGTGTGAGAGATGGAATTTCTGCGCAAACAGATGTTCCTTTCACGCGAAGGCGCCGCCGCGTCCTTTGCGTTAATTGAATTTCCGTTGAATTGCCACCTCAGAGCGTCCGTCCATTCATCTTCGGCGCTTTTGCCGACTCGACGCGCGCACGCCTAATTAGTCGGACGCTACTCGGAAACAAAAGAGCGACGCCGGGAACATTTGCATACCCGCCATCCGACATCCAGTTTGATGGATGAACACGGTGCGGTCGCGCCACGTCCACAGGAATAACCCACGCTTGGAATATTCCGGATCAAACGAGCGGTGGCTCTTGGATAACCTGGGGCGAACCGTAAAAAAAAAATCGCAAGGAGCGCTTCCACTTTCTTTTTCAAAACATTTGATTGATCTCACGGGTTTCTGGAGCAAGTGGAAGACGCGGGCGCGACTTCCAGGGATGCTCTGGAAAGCGCTGTTCCGGGCCAACGTTTTTTGGTTAAAAAAAAAAAAAAATCTGGAGGCAATCAGAGACGTTCCGATCTGCGGTTGCTCGAGTCGCTGCGTCGACGTCTCGTTTTGTCTCCTGGACTCACTTGTGGCTTCTCATCCCCCCCACCCCCAGCAACATCTTCAAAGGCTCGGCGGTTTGCATGTACAACATGGCGGATATCCGGAGGGTGTTCCTGGGCCCCTACGCCCACAGGGACGGACCCACATACCAGTGGGTGCCCTTCCAAGGCAGGGTGCCCTACCCCCGACCTGGAACGGTGAGCGTCAAATAAAACACTTGAACAATCCCATCGATGGGAGTCAACGTGTTGCTTCATGTTGCAATTCATTTGCTCTTAACTTGAAAAGAGAAACGTCCTTCCAACGCAATTTTTCACGCTCCTTTGAAGCCGTTTGACACCATTTAGCCAATCGGAAGCTAGAAGAAAGCCGTTTTAGTCAAAATCCAAATGACGACTTCCCGTCTCTCGCCTCCAGTGCCCGAGCAAGACGTTCGGCGGCTTCGACTCCACCAAAGACCTCCCGGATGATGTCATCACGTTCGCCCGGGGTCACCCGGCCATGTACAACCCGGTGCACCCCATCGGCGGGCGCCCCATCATGGTGCGCACCGACGTGGACTACCAGTTCTCGCAGCTGGTGGTGGACCGCGTGGAGGCCGAGGACGGCCAGTACGACGTCATGTTCATTGGCACGGGTACCGCCCACCTCTTCGCCGTCAACGAATAGTGACGATGCGGCCAAAACGTCGATCGAGGACGTTGAAATTATTTTTATTTTTTTTGCAGACGTGGGCACGGTGCTCAAGGTGGTGACCATCCCCAGGGAGAGTTGGCATGACCTGGAGGAGGTCGTGTTGGAGGAGATGACCGTCTTCAGGGTACGATTGATCAATGGCAGCAACGGTCGGTGTTATGAAACCGTGTCAATTGTATCGCAACGCGTAATCGTTTCATTTCAGGAACCTGCCACCATCACCGCCATGGAGCTGTCGACCAAGCAGGTAATTTAACAGCATGAAAAACTCTCCCAAGACCCGTGCAGGAAACTGAACAGGAAGTCGGCCATTTTGTTAAGACGCCGCCATTTGAGGCCACTTGCCGAGCTTTCGCCGACTCCTATTCGGGAATTCGACCAAATGAGCCACCGTTTTTGAGTATTTCCTGATAATTGTGCTTCAAGATGGACCAAAAATCTGATGAGAAAACACCAAAGTCTCCCATTCGACACTCTCACGCGCCATTTTGCCTCCCTGCATCCCACAGCAACAATTATATTTGGGCTCCTCGCTGGGCGTGTCGCAAATGTCGCTGCACCGCTGCGAGGTGTACGGGAAGGCCTGCGCCGAGTGCTGCCTGGCCCGGGACCCGTACTGCGCCTGGGACGGCACCGAGTGCTCCAGATACTTCCCCACCGCCAAGAGGTACCGGATCACATCGCTTTGGGACACCGCACCTGGGAGTGATCAGTACAACAGGGGGGATGGCTACAAAAAAAGCTTGTAATTAGGTGTTGGGACATTGCGCAGGAGCATCTTGACATTCTTCTCCACTGCAAATATTTCACAATGAGAAGCAGATGGGGGCCAAGGAAGATACAATATGTGCAGTTGTAGCGGTACCCCCTTCAAACGTTCTACTCGACACGGACCTTTTTGGCTCTGAAGTCCAGTCATGGTCCCAAAAGAGGGGGGGTGCAGTCGTCCGTCCCCCTATTTCTGAGCGGCTCTCGCTTTATTTCCCCCTCACCTTTGGCTCACCCCTCCTTTCCATTTTTTTACGAGAGGAACAGGAACGGTGTGGTAAAAGCTTGCCGATGACATTTCTCGCTATTGTCGTTAAAGAAAAAGAACAAAAAAAAAAGAAAGAAAGGCGACTTTCATGGCTCATCAGAGGCCACTGAAGGTTTAACGTGATTAAATTCAAACCCCATTTCACACAAGTAGTTTAACAGCAGATTGGGGGCGGGGGGGGGGGTTATGACTCATTCTCGTTGAGATTTTGCAGAGGGTAACATTGCCCCCTAGTGGATGAATGCCAGCAGTACAGGATTCAACGACCCGCTCTCTTTTCACAGGCGTACGAGACGGCAGGACATCCGGAATGGAGACCCACTTTCCCAGTGCTCGGATCTTCAGCATCACGGTTTGTGTGTGTGTGTGTGTGTGTGTGGAATAATAAATGACACACATTTGGTGTTTGTTCTGACTTCCCTTGACTTTCCCCTTTCAGACGATGTTGACGGCCTGGGTGGCGGCGTAGGCGGCGTGGAGGACCGCGCGGTCTACGGCGTGGAGAACAGCAGCATGTTCCTGGAGTGCAGCCCCAAGTCCCAGCGGGCGCTCATTTACTGGCAGCTGCAGACGCCCGGCGGCGAACGCAAGCAGGAGGTGCGCGCCGCCGACTTTGAAGATGTTTGTCTTCTTGTTCTGTTTATTTATTTCTTTTTACAATGCGTGTCGTCTCCGTTGTCCCCCGTGGCGTCTTTTTAGATCAAGATTGACGAGCGGGTTCTGCGCACGGACCAGGGCCTGCTCATCCGCAGTCTGTCCCAGTCGGACACGGGGGTGTACCACTGCCAGGCGGTGGAGCACGGCTTCATACAGCCGCTGCTGCGTCTCAGCCTGCAGGTCATCCCCGCCCACAGGCTGGGCGACATCCTCCCGGGGCCGCCTGGGGCCGCGGCGCCTCCGGCCGGCAAGCAACGCGTGTGGTACCGGGATTTCCTGTCCCTGCTGGATCACCCGGACCTCAACAGCGTGGAGGAGTTCTGCGACCGCGTTTGGAAGAAGGAGCGAAAACCCAAGAAGGCGAAGGCGCCCAACGGCCAGGCCGGCCCGCCGCCGCGGCCCAAAACTTTGGCTCCGAACGCGCAAAAGCTGCAGGCCGGTCCCCCTCAGGGCAAAGCTTGGCTCCAGACCGGAGCGGAGAACCCGAATAGTCAAGCCACCCTGGGCATGCTGAGTGTCCAGACGCCCAAGAACCAGCCCAAGACGCAGAGCGGTCCGAAGGGGCAGGCTGCGGCCCGGGCGGGGGTCCAGCACGCCGCCAAGTGGCGCCGGATGCAGGACAACAAGAAGGGACGCAACAGGAGAACCCACGAGCTGCAAAGACCCCCGAGGAGCGTTTGAGGGGGGCGGGATAAAACACACCAAAAGAAGCACAAAGACGAGCACATACACACGCACACACACATACATTCTGTAGAGTGTATCTCCAGTTTAGGATTCAGTGACCTCTCCACACACACACACACACACACACACACACACACACACACACACACACACACATCATGAAATGCACAGGAGCTGTGAATAATAGCCGCGGGAAAGCTACGTGTAAAAAAGAAAAAACGTGTGAGGATGTGGCCGGTCGCCATAGATACGGCCCGGCGGACACTCAGCGCCTCCTTGTACATACATGAGCTAGTTCACACTTCAAGACGGGAAGACGGCGGACAATTCCAGAATAAAATAGCCGCAAATTCTCTGCAGGACTCAAGCATGTGACCCTCACGGAATGGAACAAACTTTTTTCTCGTTTGCGGAAAAGGAGCAACGAAGCTTCCATGTCGCCATTAACGCATCACGTGCAATGGGAAGCATCGTGCATGTTGTTGTCCATCCATTAGTTCAATAAGCTACTTGTCTGCTTTTTTTTTTTTCCCTCAACCGACCTGAAACAATTTGTTTTTATGTAAGACACACATCATGACTGCGGTGGTCTCATTGTCCCCTCTGTGTAACTTATTACATCCGCAACACACACTTGTTTAGTGTACATATATACAACAACCTTCTATCTGTGTGTATATACAGTGCAGGAAACACCATGTGATCTTTTATTTATTGCTCGTTTTGTGAAAGGGTTGCATTTATTTTTTTATATTATGCTATTTTGGGGTGGGCCTCATCCATATATCGGGGGAAACAGCAGTTCAAAAAAAACGTCTTTGGACCAACTGGCGGGAATTATGTCAAGTATTCATTTTGGGGATAGAAGGACAGAATATAGAGATGAATATAAATAATAAGGCCTAGCCACGATAAGCACAATTTAGTTTTGTTTTTGTTTTCTTCCACATCCATGTGCGTCATTCAGTTCCATGTAAGATACCACTCCACTTAGGAAGCCATTTCTAGCTTGGAATCTCTCGAAGAAATGTCCACTTAGCCCAAGGAGACGTGTTATATTGCATGTGAATGCTGCCTCCAGTGCGTGCATCTTTTATTTTTTTATTTTATTTTTTTTTACTGTCTCAAGTGTTTTGTGTGACACTTCCCAGCAAACGTCAACAACAGTGATGTTAATAAAAACACAACGACCACCCCGAAAATCAAAAGACGTTTGGTGTATCCCTAATCCAGTTTTCATTCGGAACACTGAAAGTGACTCCAGCTGCTGTAACACAATTCTTTATGGCATGCATTCGGTTGTCTTAATAAACATCTGTTTCAAAAAAACTGTCTATTTTTGGCTCTTATACTCCGGCTACACATTAACATGGTACATGTTCATTACCAGGTTTGTGTTTGTATTGTTTAAAGTGGTTGAGGAATTCTCTGCAAGTGGGATTCTTTTCGTCAAAGCGCTCAAATACGATCCAATGTCGCCCTCTTGTGGCTATATGACACAATTGCAACCAAGTGGGGCGAACTGTTTTCGTCTATATTACGATCCAATGTCGCCCTCTTAAGGCTACATGGTACAATTGCACCCAAGTGGGGCGAACTGACTGTTTTCGTTCTGCCCAAAACTTGCAATTCTGCCATCTCATTTGCATATAGTCACGTGATTGTAATTATCCGAGCTATACTCACTGACATGAATTCAACCAATAACGTTAATAACAACGTTTGGTTGATTGTCCGCGTCAGTACTTCCACCAATTACCGAATGAAGTGTCCATTAGTGTCGTGACGTCATAGCCTATCAGGCGGTGGAGGTAAATGGAGGGAGTCGTATTTCCCAGCTTCTGAGTGTCGTGAATCGTAACACTGTGGATGTTTGATTTGAACTTAATCCTATCTGAAACCGAAAGTAGACATTTGTGGCGATGGTAATACTTGACAACCAGAGGGTGCATTTGTGGCACGCGTAAATGACGTGACGTCATCTTTGGAAGACGTCTCCATGAAATGACGACATCAAGGGGCGATAGTCTCAGTTTCCGGAAATATTTATATCTCCACCCACCTCCACTTATGTCAGTTTCCTCCCTCCTCGATGGGATTTGTGGTGGTAGGTGCTAGCATGCAAACATGGGATGCAAGCACCTACGGACGTGAAATTAGAGTCCATGCACTTGGCGTCAATGCAAATGATGGCATTGGAAACAGCTGCTTCTGGATGCCACCTCACCTGCGAAGTGAGGTAAACAGTTTTTGTGGGCGGTAAGATTTCTTTGGAAAACAAAAATAGCCACAAATCCTCTGACATCACTTTCATTAATGTTCGGTTTGTCCTGTTATGATTCAAGTGTGAATGAACTGTTCCTGCTGCCATGGCAACAACACTTGAAATTAGACTCAACATGAGTCAGTTCCCTGTACAACAGTAAACACCTGAATGCATAAAAAAAAAAAAAACACCCAGCTTTCTTTTGCTTTGAAGATGAATTCTTCCGAGGGATTGTGGGACTCAGAGATGAACTGACATTTTGACCTCACAGGGTGTTCGATGCTTGGTAATGCCCCTCATTAGGACCCCAACAGGTGGTTGTCAGCTGCTGTCATAGCAACCAAGGGAGGATGGATGATAGCTGACATTTCATTCAAGACTAAATGTTTTCATCAAGCAGTTCTTGCTCATCTAAATGCCATTTTAATACAGTTAAGTCACATACTGAATCGCTCCTTTCTTAGAAAAACAAACTACTTTTTAAAGACATGTTGACCTTAGCCAAGGCCCAACCATCCCAATTTCAGGGCATGAGTCACTGCCATAACCCCCCCCCCCCCGCCCGAAATGTGATGATGTTGCTTAAATCTCAATTCACCTGTCAGTTTGAATGTACTGGAGGAAGAAAATAAAATCGGAATGATGTTTTGTACTGTACATGAATTCCCCAAGTAGTTTGGCTGTAATTGACTATCATTACCACTAGGCGGTGCAATTTAACTCCAATTGTGCTTTTGCCCTCAAATGTGTTGGAATTCATGGGAGGAAAAGTGCGATACAATTGTCGTGTGTTTTTGTCCCCAAGTCTTGTTAGCGTCACAATGTGCAGCCATGTTTGTGCCCCCACAGGTTTGTGACTCACTGGCATCACGACCCCGCTGGGGTGCCCCTCGCTGCAAGGCAATGACGCACCCTCAGCGGTGGCAACAGGTAGGTGGTGTGAATAATTTATGTGTCACTCACTCTTTCACTCACTCATCCATTTTTTTTATTTTATTTTTTTGCAGCCCTTCTTTGTGATTAGCCAATCATATGGCAGCTCATCATCCTCTGTCAGTGAGTCAATGTGGTGGAGGAGGAGGAAGAGGAGATGTGTAACTGGTGAGCTTCTTTGGATTCATGTGACATTTCCTGAGAAATGGTCAATATTTTTCAAAGTTTCCCGGTAAACAGGTGACGTCAAAGTACAAAAACTACTTTTTGTTACGGTCAAAGTGTTTATTTTCTATGTCATTCTTATTTAATTTTGTGGCCATTTTCATAACATTTTAATTACTTTCATTTTAACAATTGTTTGATCATTGGCATTTAATTTGAATTGAGTAGTTTTATTTTATTGTTTTTATAATTTTTTATTATTTTATTTGTTCCTGAGTACATATTGTAGTACTGTAGTCTATTTATTTATTTTTTAATTCTCTTTTCTATTAATTTACATTTCATCTAAATTATAATGTTATATCCTTTTTATATTTTTATCCTAATTGTTTTTAATTGTGCTTATTTCAGTAAAATTTTTGATACTTTAATTTTGATGTTTTACAGTATTTGCATTAGGATTTTATTTAGATATTTATCATTGAATTTCTACACATACACCTTTCCAGTCTATCAAGTTGACCCTCAGTAATGAAATGAGTGCGACGAGTGTACAGGAAAACAGATTAGAGGCGTGTGATGGTCCTTAGAGGATAAAAAAATAAGGATTAGCGACACCTCTCAGTACAACTCCCTGCTCACATCTTTGTCTACGGTCACGTGCCGCTGTTGACTTTGCTGCTGTCTGAAGTCAAGTTAAAACCAGGCGCTTCCTTCCTAACATCATTTTATTTTTAGGGACTGAAACGGTGCGGCGACGCCGAGGGCGGAATTAGGCGCTAATCAGGATGAGCGGAGCTCAGCGGGAATGTGGCAGGGATCGCTCGCACACTCTCCCAGCAGACGCCGCAAGGATATCGACACAGACGCAACCCTGTAGTGAGTCTCAGGTACGTGACTTTAACATTTTATTTTCTTATTTGAAGACAGTGGGTATACAAAGCCATAACTTTGAACCCTTCAGTTTTTTTTCTTTGTGTCATTCGGGCTATCCAAATTTAATGAAGGCTGTGCAGTGTTTGTTATCTGGTTACCGGAGTCAAGTTGCATGGACATACACACACACACACAGAAGTGTGTTGAGAAGTTTGTATTAGCGGTTAGCCGTTAGCATCATGCAATTCAGTGTGTTTCTTAGTGTGTATAGTGTCATAAGCAGACATAGTCTAGTCAGCCAGCACGGCATCCTATGGATTCCGAGGGTCTTAAGAGTGGCATTTTGCTTTCATGCATGGAGGACACATCTGTCCTGCAGCTACACACACACACACACACACACGCACACGCACACGCACACACACACGCACACACACACACGCAGCAAATGAGCGTTGCTTCTGTGTCGTGTTGCAACACATCCGCTTGACGCTTAGTCGAGCTGACGCGTTGTGCTGTAATCCTCTCTGGGTGTAAAATATGATTTCAGCTTATTCTTTGATCATTGTTTCTACTATGCGATTCAAGGGATCTCATTCTCAGACGAGACTGGGAATTAATCACGATTGTGGTTGCACATTAATGTATTTTTCTCTGATCAAGTGATGGCACAGTGAATTGCGCGCCCTCTTATTGCCAAAGAAACAAGTCAAGGCACTGAATTATTATTCAAAATATGAATCATCCTCCACAGCTACTGTGTATTATCTCTACTGTGGATGCGCTCTCACTTTTGACATTTTGCTTTATTGCACTTCAACCGGCTCTTATTATGAGATCGGCTCTTTGCACACACACTAGAGACTTTATATTGACTGCGCGTGAAGTATTTTACTGTGCTGTCCAATATGTGACACCCTTAAACTATTATGGAGCTCATTCTAATGCATTATGTGCGGGTTATTCCCCTTTAACGACATATTTTGCTCCACTGAAGAATCCAATTCACCTGTCAGAGACGGCGCATGCGCAGTGACCGCTGAGCGTGCCAAGTTAACGAGCGTTTGCCTGAAGAATGCGGAAGTGGTCGCCATCTTCCATCGTAAACGTGATTCTGTCTCCCTAAAATCGATTGTATAATTCCTAATCCCTACAAAGGCTTTATTCGGTGTTTATTTTATGTGTAGCTCGTGGACAGGGTTTAAAATAAACAAGAATGAGCTTTAAAACAGGTTTTATTTTGGAATAACATCCGGATGTCGCGACTGGAGTCTGTGGAGGGAGTGAAACGGAAGACCCCCAGTCACACAGAACTGGTAACTGGTGTGTAAAGCTGCAGAGATGCGTTACGGAGCAGAACCCAAGCGGCAGCGGAACGGCGGCTCTCGTAGGGAAACTGGCCATTAATAAGGATAAAACCCGTGTGGGATGTACCGAGGCCGTTTCCGCTGCGCATTTCGGAGCTAAAACCCGCGGCGCCAAGTGGGGGGCTCGGGTCGCGGCGGCGCATCGATCCAGGACGGACTCGGGAGGGGTCGCATCATGGGGAACGAGGCGAGCCTGGAAGGAGGAGGCGAAGGCCCGCTGCAGGGGCTTCCCGAGGGGCTGGCACCCGACGGGGCCGGCGGCTTCGTGCGGGTCCCCGGCGGGGCTCCGGTGGACCTGGCGGAGCTGAGCGAGGAGCAGCGAAAGCAGCTCGCCGCGGCGATGTCAAGGGCGCAGGGCAGGCAGCCCGCGGGTGCCGCGGCCGCACGAAGGCAGGGCTTAGTATCACTATTTCTTCCAATTTTATTTCTTTTTTTTTAATGCACAAAAATATCCACACTAACCGAGTAGACGGTTGTGTTGTGGCAGAGCAGGAGTCACATCACGCCCATTTTTTTTTTGTAATCCACCCAGACGTGATCTCATTATTGAAGTCAATTTTCATGGCTAATCAACAGCATCCGTGCACACGAATGCGCGAAAACGCCTCTTCATCCTTTTATTTGTGACGAAATGCGTTCAGCGCACCGTGTGTCGCGTGTGCTGTGTGTCGACACTGCATTTTATTTCTCCACGGCTGCACACGCGTAAATACTTGCGCAGGGCCGTTGAACGCGATACAATACGGACTGTTTATGTCAGATCAAAGGAGGAGGAGACACACCTCCAGCATTTGTGCCGAATTGTCGAATAGCCTGCTGGGTAAAAAAAAAAAAACAAACACCAACAATGTGTCATTCGTATTTTCTCTCGATTTGAACGACATATGATCACGATTGACAACACAAAATGGTCGCTTGTATTCACGTTAATGTGAGCAATTAGACTCTCATCTGGTAATGAATTTGGCCAGATTAAAAAAAAAAGGTGTATGGCTAAAGGGTGGGAGGGGCTTGCAGGCTGCAAATGCCAACAAAACGATAAAAATGCCTCAAGCCACTTGTCTTTTAATTGGCTGTAATCGAGAAATAACTATGTTAAGATCGCAAATGGGGGTGCATCAATATTAATATGACTAAAAATAGAAGCACAACGTGAACGTCACTTCCGCCTCAGACTTCCCTCCTTTTAATTTTAAGCGTCCGTCTGGTGCTCCCTGTCCATGGTGCTGAAATGAACACAGTGGTGTGGATTGTGCACTAGTGTGACAGCGTGATGATAGTAAACAGCAATGGTAATGTAGGCCGATATGATGCATAATGAATACCACAAACAATTTGCTCCTCACAGTGCGCGGAAATTGGTTCCCTCTCGCCTCAGAGCTAACAAAGACGCCTCTTCATCTTCGTGATGTACACGCGATGTCATTCAGCCGTGTTCACTTACCGGTTAGCAATAGCCAGCGGCGGCGACAGGCTACGCATTCATTTTGAAATGGCCGTTAGGCTAACGTCTATTATTATTAGAACACCATTGCTGCGATAGACCTGGACAATATCACAGGATTATTCATTTATAATTTATGAAAAAATAATTCTTTCTATCTCGCGCAGACCGTCAGAATCTGGTGTCCAGCAGCCAGGGGCCGGCAGGGGGCCGGCAGGCCTCAGTAAGAGTCGCACGGTCGACGCCTTCAACCAGAGTACAGCGGGCAGGCCCACCACAGGGCGCAGTCCCTCGTCCCTCAATCTATTTGAGTCCCGATTCCGGCAGGAGCCCAAAGAATCTGAAAGCAAGTCATCCGGCATGTTTGGCTCCAGCTTCCTCAGTGGTGCCAACCCCCTCAGTGCCATGTCATCCATGACCTCCTCAGTGTCCTCCTCCATATCCTCCATGGGTGACTCCGTCAACATTCCCAAGTTTGGGCTGTTTGGGGAGGAGGATGCGGGAGCTACGCCAGAGTCCAATCAGGGAGGAAAGCCACCTGGCAAGGGGCCTCAACAGGGATCAGGTCCGAAGGCGCCGCAACAAGGGGGGCCTCAAAAACAGGGTCAAGGCCCTTCTGGAGTGGGGCCAAAACCCGGGCAAGGACAAGCAAGCCCAGGACCAAAATCAGCTCAGGGACCTCCTGGACAGGCTCCCAGGCAAGGCCAGGGCCAGGCAGGACAAGGGCCTTCTGGGCCACATGCACCTAGACCAGGTCAAGTACCACCAGGGCAACAAGGACCCAAACAAGGTCAAGGCCCACCGGCTCAGCAGGGACCTAGACAAGGTCAAGGTCCACCTGGACAGCAGGGACCGAGACAAGGTCAAGGTCCACCTGGGTCAGCAGGGACCTAGACAAGGTCAAGGTCCACCTGGACAGCAGGGACCGAGACAAGGTCAAGGTCCACCTGGACAGCAGGGACCGAGACAAGGTCAAGGTCCACCAGGTCAGCAGGGACCTAGACAAGGTCAAGGTCCACCTGGACAACAGGGACCGAGACAAGGACCACCCGGTCAAGGTGCTAAACAGACACAAAGTGGTCCAAAAGAACCTGGCAAGCCTGGATCCAAGCAGCCAGGACCACCAGGGCCTGGGGCTCACCCCGGGGATGCTTCCAAGAGTCACCAGGGTGCCGCGAATCCTGCAGGGGGACTCTGTCCACTGTGTAAGACCACTCAGTTGAATACTGGATCTAAGGACCCGCCAAATTACAGTCAGTGCACTGAGTGTAAGAACCAGGTCTGCAGCCTTTGTGGATTCAGCCCTCCGGACTCAGCGGTAAGATTTCCGCTCTATATTTTTATTTTAGTACAGTTGTAGACTTAGGGTATATGTCTTCTAATGAAAGCCTTTCTCTTATGCCACACAGGGTAAAGAATGGTTGTGTCTGAACTGCCAGATGCAGCGAGCAATGGGGGGCATGGACACCCCGGCTATGAGAAAGCCCAAAGAAGGTTCGGCCCCACCCTCGCCGCAGAGGCAGGCTTCAGGAAAGCCCGGCAAGCTGCTCATCAAGCAGCAAAGCACCACAGACCAAGGCTTGACGCCCCCAACCACTCCAAGGCAGAAATCCCCAGGTGCGAGCTCTCCAGGACCGCTTTCTCCCGGCTCCTCATTGGGAGGCTCCCCCAAGATTGATCCCAAGACCGGCCGCCCCATTCAACAGAAAGCCAGCCCCCAGCAGTCACCGGCCAAGACCAAGCAGGAGTCTAGCTTTTTTGGCGGGTTGGGTGGTATCAGTTTTGGAGGATTGACTGATTCAGTCAAACCGGCCGCTGCTTCCTCACAAGCAGCTGAGTCTGTCACTGGAAAACTGTTTAGCGGTTTCGGTGGATTGATGGACTCGTCTAAGCCTCAGGCGCAGGTGGCTCCAAAGCAGGAAGAATCCGTCACCGGGAAGCTGTTCGGAGGATTCGGCGGATTATCAGAGTCGGCAAAACCTCCCGCTGCCGCCTCGCAGATATTCAGCTTCGGCTCGTCCCTCCTGAACTCCGCCACCGGTCTTGTCACCGGTGAGGAAGAGAAACCAGCCGAATCTCCACCGGGGTCGCCGCCGGACTCCCCGGCCGACTTCGGACCCGGTTCCGGCCCTGGCTCCCCGCCTGATTCTCCCTTCTCCGGTCCGGGCTCTCCTCCTGATTCGGATTCTGCTCCTGACACCCCACCGGCCAAATCCAGAAAACCACCGAGGACCAAGTCTGTCGAACGAGAACCCAGCTTGGACTTAGCATCCAAAACGAAGGAAAGCTGCCCTCTCTGCAAGGCGGAGCTGAACGTCGGGACATCAGAAGCGCCCAACTACAGCCTCTGCACCGAGTGTAAGAAGAGCGTGTGCAATCTGTGTGGATTCAACCCCACTCCCCACTTAGGAGAGGTGAGAAACACTCGCTAACGCCACCTTTTAACACGCACACGTAACCACAGAATGAAGAGTGAGACCATAAGACAAACGCACTTGAAGCGCTTGACACACAACCCTGAGTGAAACCAAACGCCCTCGACCTGCTCCTCTTGTTGTTAGCACATTGTGTGTCGCCTCGCTAAGACCAGATGGAACGCGATGGGCGGAGCGTCAGTATGTTGAGGGAAAGCGGGCCAAAAAGGGTTTTCGCTTGAGCGGTTTTTGCAGCATGCCGCCCAAAAACCTGCTGACATTAGCTGTTTCCCGCATAGCAACCCTGCTCAGTGTCCGTGTCAGTGGGGTGTCCATCAAGGGCTGTGCACTGATCGGTGGTTACATGTAGTTCAAGAAACTTACAGCCGACATCTCAGTAGAGCTCCAGCTTTTGGATATTTTGGTATTTGGGTATCCAACTGATAATTGGTTTTTGCAGCATGCCGCCCAAAAACCTGCTGACATGAGCTGTTTTCCGCATAGCAACCCTGCTCGGTGTCCGTGTCAGTGGGGTGTCCATCAAGGGCTGTCCACTGATCAGTGGTTACATGTAGTTCAAGAAACTTACTTATAATTACTGATAATTCAAATTCGTCAGAACGGTGCATGGCAGCAAACTGTGTTTTATTCTCAAGGGGCTATGAAAGGAAATGACGTCAGAACGATAGTAGCGATTTTGCCGGCTAAAGCAGCACGTTTGAGTCAGCTAGGTTTCTGTTTTTTTTTAAAAAAATGATCAAATGGGGTTGTGACTGTTTCAGGTTGTCTGAAAAAGTGTGCAGAGTAATTTTTGCCTCTTAAACTGCCTTTGAAAGGTCGTCCCGACGGCTCTTGCCAGCCACTCGCTTAGCGGCTAGCCGATCGCCGCTAAAGCTGGTAACAGCCACCAGATGTCAATGGCAGCTCATTAATCACAGGGTTTTTTAAGTGTACTTAATTAGCGATTGAACATGATTTAATTTCGACGTGTTGATATTGGTGGGAACACTCGTGACGGCGATATAACTCGCAAAGATGAGTCAAGACAGCTGCCGCGCTAATACTGGCTTGAAGGCTAACCCCCTGTGCGAAAAAGCCTAATTAACTGAAACACTAACCTAAGCTTGAGAGTTTAATTTACAAGCCTTTCTTTTCTCTCTAAGATCCAAAAACAGGTGACACTTGATCCTCATATGTAAAAAAACAATCATAAAGGTGTGTGTTTGTCAGCGATCCTGAGGTCACGTGCCTCCATCTTTGTTACCTGCAGGGAGATTGATTCGAGCTGTTAGTTATCTGCTGAGTATTCCTGAGAGCCTTCAGATGGAGCCGGCGTAGCTAAACCGGGAACGACCTCCCGTCGCCACCACATTTCTGCCCTCACGGGAAATCATGCCGCCCGTACTCACTCCTCCCTGAGCTTTATCGGCACACAACGCATCAAGGTGTCCGCGTTTTGATTGAGTCAGCGTTAATTGCCCGAAGAGAGTTGAGTTGCCATTCCGTTCAATTGCCGACACCACGAAGGGGGCGAGCGATGCGATCAGTCAACTGTACGCCAGCGCGGCGGAGGAACGGGTGACGCCGCTAACTCCCATCTAGGCCGCCGCGTTCCTGCTCCGGATGAGTCACAAAGAAGCAACGCCGCGCGCATTCTAATACATCAACTACACATGCGCCGCATACGAATGCACCTGAGCAACGCTCGTGAATAATGAAAAGGGGCGTCCGCGTACGAGCCACGTGGGCTCCGATTGGCTTAATCCCAGTGTCCTAAAAGGATTTAAAGGCCAACGGGAATCCTGTTATTTCTATGGAGGCTTGATCCTCCAGTCGGGTATGTGTAATCCGCATCAGTACCTGTTGTGGAAAAAGGGGAAAGAAATTGCCCCCTTTTTTTTTTCTGTTGGATTCAAATTTTTTTTTTTCTCACAGATTCAATCCAGCTGTATGGTTGTCCTGCATCTGCCACCTTCTTCAACACCCCCCTCCCCCATTTCCTCACACACTGCCTCACAGCGCTCCCCTCACGTGCCCCGGAGGCCCGCGTGTATAAAAATAGTCAGCGGCGGCAAACCAGGCACAAAAGCGCTGCCGGACGAGCAATTGTGGGTCAGCTCGCTTTTTTCAAAACGCATCCACGTCCTTTTATGCTCGCTCTGCTTTAATAGGTGCATGCAAGATTGGTTATTTTTCGTATTTTATCTCTTCTAAACCGCAAATGTGTTTAGCAGTTCGAAGCTTTGGTGCTGGCGAGGCAGAAGGGCTGTGCTTTGTTAAATACACATACACACACTCTGGCACTGGCGGCGTTTCGTTAGCACAACCTGTTTGCATCCTGACTGATGCCGCTCGCTTGCTCACCCCCCCAATGCACTGAGCCGCGGTGGCAGGGCTCCCAGAGTTTGTTGCGTGGACGGACTGTCTGGCACACCATCCGTCACGGGGGAAAAAAAACGGTGCTGTCGCTAACACAGAAATCGGTAGAACTCTTTAAGGGGGAAAAAAAAAACGGTGCTTTCGCTAACACAGAAATCGGTAGAACTCTTTGCTCATGTCCGTTGTGCTTTTCGATACAAAATTCTCTTCCCTTGGCGAACTCAACAACATGTGCAAAATTGATGATAAAAAAAACAAATAACAGAATTTGTGGTTACGTCAACATTATTGTTGTTGTTCGTCTTCAAAGGACGGGCCAAGACAGTCTGCGCAGCCGCCGCCGCTCTGTCGCACGCTGGTACTGTACATTAACTCCAAAGATTTTTTTTTTTTTTTTTTTAACTTCAAAAGTACAATTCAGATTCGGAGCTTTAGCCAATTAGCCATCCGTTGAGCCGGCCTTGGCACATGAAGCACGGGGCTGAATTTCTGGCGCATCCAAAAAAATGGTGTACGGTAGCTAATAATTTGCTGAATAGGACACGGACAAACGATGTAAGACATGATTTTGCCTTGCATCACGATTAGCTGCATTGACATCTCACCTCCCTTCCCTTTTTATGCATTAATTTGGAATATATTTTCAAGTCAGCCGGCGTGCAGGAGCTGCAATCAGTGACGGCAGATAAGATGCTAATGTGGCGTGGAGGAGTCGAGATGATGGAAGCGATAAAAGGGGTGGGTGGGATTGCAGGATGTCGGAACGGGTCAGGATGGCGGCCACGTTTCGCCGTGCGGCGACAGTGTGCATCGCGACCATCTGACTTGTGACTCAAAGAGCCTGTGAGTCACGTCGACCGCACCTTTGGGCAGCGCGAGCTGCGGCTTCCGCTCAGGCGGAAATGGGAGAAATATCTTCGAGGGCCACATTGCCGCGGAGTCAAAATCCATTAGATCCTCCTGATCAACCTTTCTTAACAAATTATGGAAATAACTTGCCTATTCTCTCGCTCTCTCTCTCTCTCTCTCTCTCTCTCTCTCTCTCTCTCTTTCTCTTACCCTCTGTGCCAGCCTCAGTCTAAATTTAAACAGGTAAAACCCCCACCGGATCCATCGTCTTAATCAAAAAGCTGCATCCACCTTCACCCTACCGTGTTTTGTTTCAGATCGTGCGGAATGCCGACAAAAGCGGAGCCGATCCAGGCGAATAGAATGACTTCTTTTCAGAACTCTGCATGTGTCACCGCTGTCGTCACGAGCTCCCCGTGGGTGCCGTGGTCAATAGCCAGGCGCGCGCGGCGCTAGGAAATGTCTTTGTAGGTGAAAAGGGAGCGACTTTTCTTTGATTCATCCTCGCCTCGGTGACGGAGGAAGCTGCCGAAAGGTTTTAATCATTTTCTTGCGTGTTGCGTGGAAGCTGGCGTGAGTCACGTGCAGCTTCAAATAAAAATCAGGAAGATGTTCAGTGACTTGGGCCTGGTATGCTTTGAGGCATATCACGACGCTGCTGTAACACAGAGTTTTTAGGGCGGACACAATCATTTTCCCAGGTGCCTCTTTGAAGTCCGCCTTTTTGAGATAACGACTTTTCAAACATTTCTGTCACTTTCGTTACAGAGCGAATGGCTTTGCCTCAACTGTCAGACGAAAAGAGCCAGTCAGATGGACGAGACGGCTTCCCCGAAACAGACAGGACCCGCTCCCGCTCCCTCTTCCATCCCCGCCCCTGCTGCTGTAGATAGCAAACCCGTTGTAGTAGAATCAGCAGCAGCAGCAGAGCAAACCCCGACCGCCCCCGAGACCAAGGTAGCGGCCACACCTGCACCACCATTACACGACTGCCATGAACCACTTGCCGTTGCCGTTTCCGACCAATCACTCACAGCACCTGCACCACCATTACACGACTGCCATGAACCACATGCCGTTGCCGTTTCCGACCAATCAGTCACATGTGCTCATGTGTCCGGGCTCATGTGCGACCCTGTCGCTCATTCGCAAGACATCTCTGAGAGAACTGTAGCTGAAATTCAAGAGCGGCAGCAAGAAAGCCCTGACGAAATAGCACAGGGAATCCCGGCAATTGAGCAGCTGCAGCAGAGTAGCTCAAAAGATACAAACCCGGTGACGGCGCTGCCTAGAGATGAGCATCTAGTTCTGACTGATACTGTCGGTGAAGCAATTCCGGAAAAGCCTTTTGAAGAAGTACTTGAGAACCCCTGCGAGGTTGTGTCGGCTGATACAGGTTTTGATGAGGTGTCCGTTGAGGTAGAACAAAACGAAAATCGCACAGAGAGTATCCCCCCCTTGATAGAGAGCAACAGTAATTTACGACAGTCTGAACCTGCCTCGGTTGCACAGGAAATCACTTCTCACTCTGATTCAGCAGTAGAATCCCTTGCGACAAAAGAAATAAGCGGCAAACTCGCCCATTCAACAGAGGCACCAACACAGACTTTAGCCGCGGACAGCACTTTCAACACAAATAATACTCCAAAATCCGAGGCTGGAAGTGTAACGACCGAACCGATAGCAGAGGCGGGTACGAACCAAAAGGATGCTTCTCATCCGTCTGTCGAAGTAAGTGAAAATGTGTTACCGTTATCTGGAACCGATCGCCCGAAACGTGACAAGATGCAGGATTCGGCAATACAGTCAGATGCATCAAAATGCACAGAACCCATTCTGACGTCGGTTGCTCATCAACCTGACTCACCCGCTGAGCGGAAAAGTCAGGCTGATGGATTAGAACAGAAACTTGTCGAAAAAGCACAAGAAACGAACTCGCTTCCTTTTTCTTCGAATGACTCAGCTTTTGAAAAGACATTGAATAGCTCCTTTGATCGGGAAGCATCCGCGAAAGGGAGTGAGGAACATTCTGCTGAGCTCGGAAAACCAAAAGAGGCTCCCGAGGTGACGCGTGTCAAAGAGCGAGCGATTGAAAACAAGGAGACGGATGTCGAGATCAAGTGTGACGGTGCGGCCTTTGAAGAGGGAGCGCCTCATGAAAAGAAAGTTTCGGAGGTGAAAGCCGAGACGGTAAATCTCATTGAAGAACAACAAAATCAGGAAGCAAAAGAGCAAAAACCTCTTAGTGAGACAGAGCTAGCATCAGAACGTTGCAGTATTGAGACAGAAAACATTTGTGCGGTAGATAAAAAAGAATCGGAAAATGCAGAAAAGACTCTCGGCGACGGCCATAGTGTCGTCATGCCTCAACAGACAGACCCGAGAACAAACGATAAGCCCCCTCCTGTTCACGAGAGCCGTGTTCAAACAGCCTCGTCCCCCGAGGATTCAACAGCGACGGAACAGGCGCTCGTTGAATCTGCAAGTGTGATCCCGAAAGGGGAGCTGCAGCCACCTACAGAGATTTTGTCTCAAGAACATGCTTCTGACAAAACGGCCGTTCCGGATTCTAATGAGCAAGAAAAGGTCAAAACCAAAGAGCCCTCTCAGAATCAAGTCAGCGATAAAACCTTCTCCGAGGCCACAGAATCGGATTCGCATTTAACGGGCAGTCAGGCACAGCCACTTGACAAATTCAATCCGGAAAAAGTCACCAACAGTGAAACAGAGGCAAACAAAAATGGCGTTGGCTCATTACCTGACGCAGGCAACATCCAGGAATCTATTTTCATATCAGAAGTGAGCGTAATTGGTGTGAATGATGCCGCTGCAGAGTTTGACGCAGGGATGAAAAGCACGTCACCGAACGACAACACCCAATCGAAGGGTGAAAATGCCAACCTGTCTCGATTAGCAGCTTCAGCCCCCGTAGCAGAGCCCCAAATCCCACGCGTTGTAGTTTGTGAGCAGACCACAGATATGAATAAAGATGCTAGTCGGATGGAGGAAAGGGAGGCTCCACCCGAGCCCCCGATGAAGCCGTGGGATGAAGATCCAAAACCTGAGGTGACCGTAGCTTAATTTATGGAGAGACTAGCTGTTCTCTGTGGTATTGTATTATTGTGCAAAACACTAGATACAAGATCCATGTTGAAGTTCTGCTTTTTTTTCTTTCATCACCCCGTTAATGTCTTCATTCAATCCATCAGGTGGAACAGTCGGAGACCCCGACAAAGCCTGGCGACAGAGAAAGTGACACCAAGGACGGCAGTCCTACCAGCCCCTCCGACCTGGCCAAGCTGGAAAGCACAGTCCTGCCCATTCTCGAGGCGAAAGTGAAGGATGATGAAGAGAAACAAACGGACACGCTGAAGACCAGACGTAAACTCGAGGTGCTTCCGATTTCTCCCGACTCGCCCTGCTCGGACGAGGATGTGGATCTGAACAAAAGTCACGCAAAGAAAAAGCTCCTGGTGCCTCTGGACGTCAGGGTGGATTCACTGGATGATAGTAGCGAAAGCTTTGGGAAAGAGAGCCCCTTGTCAGGGGATGACGAGGAGTTTATCCGCAAACAGATCATAGAAATGAGCGAAAACGAGGACGCCTCGCCATCCGATGAGGAAAACCACATTCGACGTGAGATCAGACAAAATGAAAGGCGACGAGTGGAAGAGAAGAAAACCGGGCCCGTGGCTTCAGGAAAGGCCAAGCGGTTATCCAAGAAAAACTCTCTAAGTCTCAATGATGAAGAAGATAACGCTCCACTCATCAAAGTTGATTTACCGGAGCTCAAAGAAGAGGATCCTCAAAGCGGTGTCGCAGTTCGCAAATTTCAAACGATAGAGCTGAATACAACCAGCAGCCCCTTGGTTGTAACACAAGTTAATATAGAGCCCGAGATGGAATGTTTGACCGATTCACCGGACGATCGTTCGAAAGGGGAGGGCTCATCCAGTCTACACGCGTCCAGCTTTACACCCGGCACCTCACCGACGTCGCTGTCCTCGCTGGATGAGGACAGCGACAGCAGTAGTCCCGGCCACGTTCGCTCCAGTGAGAGCAAGCAGCACAGGAAAGCCAAACACCGACAAGCTGGACAAATGCTGCCGACGATTGAAGACTCTTCTGAGGAGGACGAATTGCGGGAAGAAGAGGAGCTGCTCAAGGAGCAGGAGAAACAGCGGGGAGCCGGGAAGAAATCGAAGCGAGACAAGGAAGAGGTTCGAGGCCAGCGAAGGCGTGACCGTTCAATGACGCCCCCGAGCAACCTCTCACCTATCGAAGACGCCTCGCCGACGGAAGAACTGAGGCAGGAGGCGGAAATGGAAGAGATCAGACGATCGTCCTGCTCCGATTTCTCCCCGAGCATCGATTCAGACCCCGAGGGTTTTGAAATCCATGCCGCAAAGATCGCGGCCGTGCAGAAAACATATCAATTGCCCATTTCCGTGTCGCACCATTCTCCGACAGAAAATAAAAACACGGACAAATCACAGAGGAAAGCTCTCAGATCTGCCGAAGAAGCTTATGAGGAGATCATACTGAGGGCCAAGTCTCCGACAGTTGAAAATGTTGACTTTCATCCAGAAAAGGAGGCTCTTTATGGAGGTATGCTAATTGAAGATTATGCTTACGCCTCGGTCACGGATAATTCAACAGATGATCTGGGGGCGACGGAAAAGATCAGCGTTCCTGCCCAGCCCAAGAAGCTCAGATCACCGGATGAAGTTTATGAGGACATGATCAAGAAAAGAAAGGAATTCATGAAACTCGAACAGGAATACCAAAACATGAAACAACCCAAAAATGAAAGTACAAACCCTGAAATCGTCTTGCAGCCCGCCGAGACTACCCTTTCCAAAGTCACGACGGTAACTCTGGGAAAAGATGGAAAACCATTGTTGGATGCTGAAAGTGCTTACGAAGAGCTCATGAAAAAGGTATTGACTCCTGGAGAAAGTCCCACTCTGCAAGACCCCGAAGTGGAAACCACTTCATCCAGAAGGGCTCTCTACCCAATCCCAGACCTAAAAGTCACGCAGTGTTCCTCAGGAGAGTTGTCCTCTGATGAAGAAAGTATCATTAAAAAGGAGGAGGAAACGGCGAAATCAACTTCAGCTGTCGAAACCCCATCATCCGCGTCAGACCAGCAACCCCACACCCCTGTCACGGCATCCCGGACTGACACTTCGGACCTATCAAGTGCAATTGCAATAACCTCTGCTCCTGTAACGGCAAACTTTACCGCCTTGCCTACTGTCCCGCAGTATGCACAAGGCACCCCGAGCATCGTTTCAACTGCCCCACCAATCCCCCCGAAGCCAAATGTCTTGCGCAGGGCAAATTCTCAGGAAAAAGCCGATGCACCCGTCGAGCCACCGTTGCCTCCCCCTATCGCACAAAAACCCACGGTTTTTCCCAGAAAACCTCCAGTTCCACTCCCACCTCAGGCTTCAACCGCGCCGGTCAGGCCAGAGACACTTCCCGCCACTTCACTTTCTAAACAATCAGTCACGCCAACATACAAACCTCACGTTCCGCCCCCTGTCCCCCCAAAGCCCTGCATTCCTGCCGGTGTCGGCGAAGGCCACAGACAAGGGCACAGCATCAAACCACCCATTGCACCAAAACCCTGCTCACAGCCATCCTCCCCTGCTCATGTCGCGCATCCACCAAGACCCACCGTGCTTCCCACGGGGTCCACTGACATAGCTTTGAACCTCAGCCCTTCATCTGAGAGCAAGCCCTTTCAACCCTCGCCAAAGTCTCCTTCTTCTCCTAGATATGCAAGAAACCTCCGTGATACGTACGTGGTTATCACACTCCCTTCTCAGCCAAGCTCTCCGGTCGACAGTCTCTCAACTCAAGCCCCCTCCGAGACTGGCCCAGCATCAACGGCCCACCAAGCTCATACCCCAAGTTATCACCAAACACAGGCTCAGTCAACACCACCTCATACCACGAGGGTGCCTCTGGCTTACACCCGAGTGACAGAATCCATTGAGAATCAAGAGATATGCGGCCCAGAAAAACACGTTACAAGCTCTTGTCACATCATCGAAGCCGTTTCGGCCTCCGCGCAGCCTCCCGTGGTCATGCCAAACCTAATCTCCCAAGTGGTTACCACAGAGGTCCAAAGAACCACCGTCTCTGTTGTTCACGAACGGACGCCGCCGCCTGGGCCAACTCCGAGGGCAACCGGGATCCCGATCTCATTGGAGAAACCAAAGACTCAATTGCCCGTACAGAATGGACAGGCGGTCCTGCCTTGTGAGGTGGTGGATCTGAGGACTGTGAAGGCCGACGCAGCGTCACACATGAATGGAGTGGATCTGTCTGCCGGGCCGGAGGCCGGTCGGCAGTCGTTGGCAACTGATGTCAGTCGCCAGAGCAGTGCGATACAGTCATCTGTTGTGAACCTCAGTTCCGAATCCTCCACCTTCTCGATCGTGACTGACAGCATCACCATTGTGACATGTTCTGCCACAGTCCAGAGGGGCGATAGTTTGGAAACCTCTCAAGCATCTTCAATCCCCCTCCAGCTCACGAAGAATAAAGCATTTGAACCCATCTCTCAAATTGTGTACCGCTCTGTGGATTCTCAGCCTCCCGCTCACTCTGGTGAGATCCCCATGAATCTCTCAGTTGGGGCGAGCGCAGGCATTGGGACGTTCCAAACACCACCTGTAACCATGGCACCCGGTACCGTCCCTGCTTGTGTCGCTAACGGGTTAACGACAAGCACTTCGTCTGTGGCGGGAGCTGTTGACCTGAGCACGACAAAACCATTCAATACTCTGGTGTCCATGGACGCCATTTCGACAGAAGTTGTCACAGCCGTCATCACAGAGGACGATAGCAAGCCAGTCGATCTAACCGCTGGGAAAAGAGCCGTGTGCTGCGATGTTGTTTACAAGCTCCCGTTTGCAGGAAGCTGCGCTGCACAGCAGCCCACCACCCCTCTGCCCGAAGACCGTTTTGGATATCGCGATGATCATTACCAGTACGATCGCTCGTCCTATGGCGTGAGGGGGTTTGGCGGTATCAAACCCTCAATGTCGGACACCAACCTGGCAGAAGCCGGCCTGTTTTTTTACAAGAGTAAGAACAGCTATAATTTCAGTGGCACCACAGACGGTGCCGTAGATCTTTCCTCGACAAAGATTTCCGATGCAGGTCAGTGCTGTGACATTGCCGACCTGTCACTTAAATGTCATTTTGAATTGCTACCCCTCATCCATGGCTAGCATTTTTTTTTCTGGATTTTTGCTTTTTGTTTTTTGCATGGAGGTGATATTTTTTTCTTTTTTCCTTCTGTTGTGATTTTTGTGCCTGCATGCTGTATGTCTACTTTGGATTTTTTTTTTCCCCTCTTTTTCCATCACTTTATAATTTGGGTAAGGAATGGCGCACCGCATTTACTTTGCACATATCATATGAGCTCAACTGATTTTTTTTTTTTTTTTTTTTTTAATGTTCTGAACAGGCGATGCTGTGGACTACTCCAAGAAAGGGGCATATGCAGGAATGACAATCCCTCCTTATTCCCAATCAGGAGTCACAAGTGGTGTCGGCACTCTCTTCGGTACAAATAGTGTACTGAGGTCATCCAATGGGGTCGTTTATTCCTCCGTTGCCGCACCCATTCCATCGACATATGCAATAACCACACAACCGGGATCCATCTTTTGTACGTCCTACAACACTCAGTCAAGTATGCATACTAGTGACACCATGCCATCATTGTCGGACATCCAGAACTTGCCACTGACACGATCCCACAGTTTCCTGTCTACGGTCTCGATTACGACGGCAGATGAGCAAGCCGACATCCCTCTCAACTTGGAGATAACCAAAGAGGATGCTTCTGGTCATGCTGTCACCACGGCGACCACCTCTTTATCCCTTGACTACACAGATGAATCCCTCGAGGCGATAGCCGCCTCCCTGGAGGCTCTTTCGTCACCCATGGTCCCAGGCGACGGCCAGTATCAGGCCGAGCGTGAACGGCTCGAAATGGAAAAACTCAAGCAGCAGCGCCTGGCTGAGGAGCTGGAATGGGAGCGTCAGGAGATTCAACGTTTTCGCGAGCAAGAGCAGCTGCTGGTCCAGAAGGAACTGGAGGAGCTCCAGGTCATGAAGCAGCAAATTTTGACCCAGCAAGAAGAGGAAAGGCAAGCTCACCTCATGATGCAAAAGGAAACCTACGCTCAGCAACAGCAGCAGCTCGAGCAAATTCAGAGACTCCAAGAGCAACTCCGCATGCAACTGGAAGAGCAAAAGCTTCGTCAGATGTATCCAGGCGGGGAGATGCTCGGGAACGGCGTCCAGGAGGCCGTCGTCTTGGGCCCCGATGGCACCGTGCTGTCACGGAAGATCACGGATAGCGGTTGCCAAACCGATGACGAGGACGAGACGGTCAGCAAAGCTTACACAGCGGGGAGGAAGAAGAAAAGCGCCAAAAAGAGTGTCGACAGTTGTGTGCAGACGGATGATGAGGACCAGGAGGAGTGGGAGGCTCAGAGAAGCCGACAGAATCGGCCACGCACCGCACGAGGGGACAGGGGAGGGCACGCCGACATGTCCCTCCAAGCGCATACTGAGATTTCGATACAAACGGATACAGACGGAAACATCCGGATGGACACGAGAATGGAACTGTCCGACTCGGAAAGAACCTCGCCGAAGAAACGACCGACGCCCTTGGAGATTGGCCTGTCTCCCCACCTCAAGGCTGAGCCCTCCACACTTCAAGCGCCCTCTAAATCTCCGAACGTGCTCTATTCTCCCATGTCGCCCTGTATTTCCCCAAGCAAATCACTCGAATTTGTATCTTACGATAAATCACTGGGCGATAAAAGCCCTCAAAAGCTCAGGGGAAGCCCGGATCCGGGAAGTCCGAGGGGAACAAAGTCCATGCAGAGATCCATGTCTGACCCCAAATCTATGAGTCCAAGTGGAGAAGAAAGGGCAACATTTGGCACCCAGTGTGCCGATACTGTGAGTACGCCTCCTTTTCATTATTGCTATAGCCGTGGTCGTTGAGTCTCTCACTCGAATGTTCCCAAGCCAAAGCTATTCACGCTATAGCTTTGATTGCAGCAAGCATGTCGTCTTTTGGAGCCATTTTGCCCCTGGCTTACATAAGGTTTGAAAGCCAAGTCTTTGCTTGGGTAACTCACTGGCAACTATCTCATACATACAGTGCGTGAAAAGAATATGCTGAGCTCGCAAGAATATATTCAGCAGTGCAATCCTCCATGTGAATAAATTACTGCTCTTCTCTTTCCACTTGGTTGAGACGACAAAGTGCACAGTTTCTGCAAAGAACAAAAGTTATATGTGTATAATTCTTTTTTTAATTTCTACAGGGGAAGGGCTCGGGTGGAACGCCCACTGGCACTCAAAAGAAGGTCAAGAGGACTCTGCCCAATCCCCCATCAGAAGATGACTCATCAGCCAGTGGCCAGACCGGCTATAGCACCGGTTCCGCTCGACGGAGAATGTGCCGCAATTCAAACATGGCACGCGCCAAGATCCTCCAAGACATAGATCGCGAGCTCGATTTAGTGGAACGGGAGTCGTCCAAACTGCGCAAAAGGCAGGCCGAGCTTGACGAGGAGGAGAAGGAGATCGACGCCAAGCTCAGGTACTTGGAGATGGGTATTAATCGGAGGAAAGGCGCCCTTCTGAAAGAGCGGGAGAAGAGAGAGCGAGCTTATTTGCAGGGTGTGGCCGAAGACCGGGATTATATGTCGGACAGCGAGGTTAGCAACATCCGAGAGACCAGAGGTGACCATGATGACGGCGAGGATGAGGAAATAGAAAGCCATGGTCTGGAACGTCCCAGGACAGCTCCTCAGGCTGAACTGGATGACTTTGTCCCACCTCAAACGAAACACGAATACGGAAAATACTCCCAGTACCCATACCCTCAAAGCCAATACCAGCAGTCCCTCTATCAGACCCCCCAGTCTTACCAGTCCCATTCCGTGTACTCCTCTGTGCCCTCGCTCACCAGCTCCCAACAGCAAAGTTACCAGCAGATGCTCCTGTTGCAGCAGAAAGCGGCCAGGCAGGCCGCGCTTCTCTCCGAACTGGATGCCACCAAATATGATGTCATTAGCCGCCAGCCCGATCCCACGTCCTCGCCCTACCTTGGCGTGAAATACGACAAGTACGGCAACCACCTTGACCTCAGAGCCTTGGACGTGGGAAGTCTCGCAGGTAGTCCCATGTCAGCTGTCTCCGACGCCTACTACTCAGATATCGATCACCACACACCTCGGAGTTACCTGCTGCTAGAAGATGCGGCCGAGCTCGCCAAGAGCTCCCCTGGTTTGTCGTCGTCATACAGTCTTGCCGAGAGAGAGTTAGCCAAAGCGGAGAAGCTTCTGCAGCGCAGCGCCGCCGATCTGGGATCCACCGACTATCTCGGATCCACCTCCAGACTGCATACGTATGGTAAAACCCCCGATGAAGAAGATCCAATGGAGGAACCCTACGAACTGAAGCTTTTGAAGCAGCAGCTCAAGCAGGAGTTCAGGAGGAGCACGGGTGGGACAGAAAGCTTAGACCCCCTGACAGGCCTCTCCCAGCACTACTATACCCCGAGCTCCAGCATCTCCAGTTACTCCCAGAGGCACTACCCAAAGTCAGACAAGTACAGCATCAGTCGGCTGACTCTCGAGAAGCAGGCAGCAAAACAACTCCCGGCATCGATGTTATACCAAAAACACAAGACTCCGTTACTGGAGCCGAAGATCTCCTCCAAGTATTCCTCAATTACAGAAAGCAGAGCTTTGGACATGGACTATACGAGCTATTTGGGATCTGCCGGCGGCTCCCCGAGATCCAGCCGACTCATGCAGGACGAGATTACCTTTGGCCTTCGTAAGAATATTGCAGAGCAGCAAAAATACTTGGGGTCTACCTTGGGTGCAAACTTGGCGGGTTCGCTCAACCTGGGCCAGAGTTTGGGTTTGGACTCCGCTTACCCAAGCGGCAGTCGCTCAAGACCGTCATCCAGGCCGACGTCTTGCTATGGCTTAGACCTGTCAATCAAAAGAGACCCCTCCAGCTCCTCGTTGAGACTCAAAGGGGACGGCGAGGCCTCCACAGACAGCTTCCAAACCCCCTCCGGTCGCGCCAAACCCACCAGCCTCCCCATCGTGCAAAGCGGCCGTGGGAGAATCCCCATCGTGGCCCAGAACTCTGAAGAAGAAAGTCCACTGAGTCCTGTCGGGGAGCCGATGGGCATGGCCCGAGCCTCAGCGGGGCCTCTGCCGCCCATCTCGGCCGACTCTCGGGACCAGTTTGGTTCCTGCCTCTCCTTGCAGGACTCTCAGCAGCAGCAGCAGCAGCACATCAGGGAAGAACCGAGCAGGGGTAGGGCTTTTGTGCTGATGGATGACCTTCAGGGCACCATGTCAGATAGCGAAGGTAACAAACAGAATCGTGGCGAGATTATCTTTCCGTTCGTATTCATGATTTCCTCTCGCATGCGTTGGCTGCCACTACGTGGAACGTTCAGGACTTGTAAAAACCTGCATGTATTTGTTGCTTCTTCTCCGTGGTGTCACTCTCATCAAAAATGTTGCACGTCGTGTTCTCCGTCTTCCAAACCACGCTTTTTGCACGCCCGTGCTTCCCCCTGTACTTCCGATATTATGTAACGTGTTGGCGTAACTTAGTGTGACTGCGTGGGAGGTGTTCTCCTCAAATAGCGATCTAACTCGTGCGCACTTGGTCTCGGGATACTCATCTTTTGGATACTTTCAAACGACATGTTAGGAATACTTTGGTGGTCCCTCTTTCGAGGCGCAAAAATGTCGAGTTAATCCCCCAGCGTTCTGTTTCCCCGCCAGTGAACTGGCAAGTGCCTCTCACATCTTGGAAATGCTTCACAATCGCTTCCCTTTACCTTCCTCGACTTTTAATACAAGCCCGTTTTATGAAAACATCCAGCCCAAAAAAGTAAGACATTCTTAAACAAATAGAAGCATGATAATCGCCTTTTCGAATTGTTGGATAAATGTGCTGGATTTTCGGTGTGTGTTTGAAATGCTGCATGTCTGTCTGAGGCACGAATAAATCTGAAACCTTCATTCTCTGCATGTCCCTCTGTGAGTAATTGCATGCGTATCTTCTTCCATGTGTACTCTTCATGTTTTATCTTGCAGCGTAAGCATCCTGCACTTCAATATTATATCCGGAATATTCAGTTGAAGGGCCGCTGCATACTGTATGTGTATCTGCTCAAAACCCCTCATGCTCCCAGGTCGGAGTTTTCCCGATTGCATCATCAGGGACATATTGATCGCTTTTGATATGGATCCGGCCATTTCGCCATGTAAACTCGTTTGCCTTGATTGCAGCCCTAAGTGATTCCCCGGTGCCTTTGAGCAGAGACCATTCAGCCAAGGGTAGAGTATTAGTTCACGACATATCAACATATGAACTAACCCACACGACACCCGCACAGTCATCCACATATGACATGATATGATGGTGAAATGTTGGGAAGGTTTAACATGTATTTATGTGTTATGCGGAAGCACGTGCACGAAATATTTTTGAGCAAATTGATGGAGGAAAAAATGCCTACAGTTCAATCCGTACCCAACATTTACAGTCATAGATATGCATCAAGTTTAAGGAACACTACAACGCATCAAACTACATTCTTCAACTCCATTTTGTAATAACAGTGAAAAAAAACCCCAAAAAATCCCTCTCATTGCTTTTCATCCTTTCCTACATAAAACATGAATAATTCAACATCGACGCCAGCCCCTTTGTGTTGCCGTTCACAAGTTAGCGTCTCATGAATCGCATGCATGTATCAGAGGAAATCCTCACCCAGTGTGACGTGTCCGGGGGCAAACGTTCTGAGATTTGCCCTTCTACCTCTTTGTCGCTGAAAGCCTACCACCTGAGACGAGAGGAGACCGATTGGTTCGACAAACCCAGAGACGGGCGCCCGGAGAACGGACACGACAAGAGACAGGTGACCCCCCCGGCCCCAATAAAAAAGCCAGTTGTATAACTTTTGAATCTGTCTCCAGAGGATGTCATTTGATTATTGTGTGTGGGCCACAGGGTAAAGGTCCGTACTACCCCTTCCCTCACCTCAGGGTCAAACTGAAGAGAGATCCCAAAGATCGCAGTGTGTCAGGTAAAATACCTCAATGACTGACGAACGACCGTTTTCTCAAAAAATAAATAATAAAACGTTTTGTACTCAAATATTTTGGTGTCAAACGGCCTAAGTCACCTTCCGATTAAGTCAACCGTCAGAATTATTTTAAAACACAATTGGTAGGCTGCTAATTAGCGGTTAGCACCGAGCTAGGTCTCTACAGCTGTCAAAGGGGTCTTCGCGGACACACCCAGACCCTTTGAGATCCAAGTGTCACTCGCTCTTATGATGTGAACAAAATTTAAAAAATGCAAAGAAGTCACTCTATAACACAATTGAGCAATCATAGCCATGACAAAAAAATATATACTTATGCTTTTGCGTACATATCTTGGCCATTTCTGTTTGCGGTCTATTGGTTGAATTGATCCTCAAACCAGAACCAGGTTGGGATCAGTTTGACAAATGGACCACATGGCTTTTTTTTTTTTGGACTCCATCCCTTTCAACAAACTGGCAAGCGTTTTCACCCGTCATTATCCTTTGTCGGTCGGTTGAAAGCACGACGCGGGACATTTCATTTCCTGGCGTCCCTTTCCGTTTGGCTCGCCTCCACGCCCGGCAGCCATTGCCGCGCTCAAAATGGCGCAGGGCCTCACGCTCAACGTTACGTAATGAACACGCGGACCGTCTGAAAGAGGTTTTGTGCTTACATATGTGACATTTCGACATGTTTGCTAGGGAACGGCCTGGGCATCCGTGTCGTCGGTGGGAAGGAGGTCCCTGGCGGTAACGGAGAGATCGGCTCCTACGTTGCCAAAGTTCTAGCCGGTGGAGCCGCGGAACAAACGGGCAAGATCCTGGAAGGTGAGCGCCCTGCGGCCCATCGTTCTCTTCCGTAATAAACCGGGAGTCGCCAATCTCTGACCCCTGGGCCACATACTGTACTCTGTTCTGGCCTCTGGCCCGCTGAGCGTTTACATGAGGACACACTTTTCACCAAACATATTAAAGCTGCTCATGGACGTTGCGTCCACCGGGGAATGATTGCTATTGTCGTCCAATCCGGGAGGACGTCTCAAGCGGCATGTAGCCGGCAAGCTGCGAAATTGGCCCAAAAAAAAAAATGTGGTTTTTGTTTTGGGAGGGGGGGCGGGGTGGCGAGGTTGATAATTTGTGTGCAATGCATGCAGTGCGGCGCAAGCAGAGGATGCCGCTGATGAGCTGCTTCAGGACGTGTAAGTCTTGACAGCCTGGCTTTGCCGTGCTGCGTGAACAACTACCATTGTGTGAAGTGTCTTTGCACTTGGTTGTGTTTTCGCTGCTCTGGGTTTGGGTTTGTGTGTGTGTGTGTGTGTGTGTGTTTTGAGTACATTTTGCATAAAAAAAAAAAAAAAAATTGAGCAGATCAGTTTGCTTACTTGAATAAATTCATTAGTTTATTTCTTATTTTAAGCCAGTTTTTCCTGCACGTCTTCCCATTAAAAAAAAATGAGGTGAAAACGCACATGAATCATGTCATAAAATAAACATGAGTCCTCTAAATATGTCTCTTTTCCAATAGGAATGCAAGTCCTGGAATGGAACGGCATCCCGCTGACCGGAAAAACTTACGAAGAGGTGCAAGGGCTCGTCAGCCACTCGTGTAGCGAGGCAGAATTGTGTGTCAGACTGTAAGCACAACCTCAGATCTAATGTTCAGTTTTCTTTTTTTTTTTTGTTGTTGTTGTTCTAAGAATTGGTCTCCTTTCCCTCTCAGAGATCTCAACATGTTGGCCGAATCCGAAGGCGCGGAGCGCTTGGACTTCCAGGAGCCGAGCAAAAGTAAGCCGTCGTCGTCAGTCACGCGGTCAAAAGCGGACGAAGTAACTATTCGATCTATGCAGGCGACAGACCTCCCAGGTCGCCGGGCGTGGACCCCAAGCAGTTGGCGGCCGAGCTGCAGAAAGTGTCCCAGCAGCAGGCCCCGCCCTCCTCCACCGCCTCCTCCACCAGCCTGACGGCGACCGCCTCGGCGACCTCCAGCCCCGCCCAGCCGGGCTCGCCGTCGGTCGGCAAGAAGCGGCACAGTAGCAAGGCGAGTGCCACTCGCGCGTCAAGCCCGACGACACTGTTTTGTTTTGTTTTTTTGCACGTCTTAGCACCTTTTCATCCCTTCCAGGCCGCAGATGGAAGCAAAACCCCGTCACACCCAATCACTGGTGACATACAGGTCAGTGATGTCTGGTTAGTTGAAGACAGTCAACGTTCCTTCAAAATTGTGTTCCTTCAGCCCATTGAGGCAGCTAAACAAGTTGGGCATGAACAAGCCCCCAATTGGTTACTTCAAGACTTGACGTCACAAAACTTTGTTGATCTAAAGATTGTCTTTCACCAGCTCATTGGAGCAGGAAACAAGTTAGGCCTGAAATCAAAAAGATCCCCTTTAGTTACTTTTCTAAGATCGCATATTAATGTGCCTTATTGACAGAAATGATGGATCAATACAAATAAGTTGAAATTGTCTTGTCAAGTCTGGATTCAGATGCCCCCTCTGATGAGCTCAAGATTCAACATTTTTGTCGATACAAGCACTGAATCCATCCAAATGAGTGGGTTAAAGTGGTCTGACACCAGCCCGTTTAGGCACAAAACCAACTTTGGCCTGAAATCAGGAAGTCTCTTGTTCGTTATTAATGTCAATATTAAATCTAGCCCCCTCAACCCCCTAACCGTGTTAATGCAAACGTCAGAGCTATATCAACGGAGGTAAGAAGAAAACGTCTTATCCTGCGCAGGCCCGTTCAGGCAGTCGACTCTCACCAGCCCATCATTATCGACGAGACCAGGTCCACACCAAATAAACACAGATCATGATTCTTCCTTTCCTGCAGCTTCAAATCCACTACGACAAGCAGCTGGGCAACCTGATCGTGCACGTCCTGCAGGCGCGCAACCTGGCGCCGCGCGATAACAACGGCTACTCGGACCCCTTTGTTAAGGTGTACCTCCTGCCGGGACGGGGGTGAGTCCAAACATCTTTTCTTCCAGGCATGTAAAATCGGACAATTGCTCTTTTTATATGTGGGCCTTCTATGCTCTCGGCACCGTACCATCCTATGATAGGGGTGTTTAAAAAAAAAACACAAAGGGAAAAATGATGACTGTTGTATTGGATCTCACTGGTGCAGGTGTCTAATGAAATGGCCAGTGTGCCGTGCCCCCGCCTCCCTTTTTTTGACACTGAAGCTCGACCCCCAACCCACACGTCGCACACTCACTCCCTCTGACGATTGATTTTATTTTTATTTTTTTGTATGTTCTCTATATTTAATGCATGCTGGACCCCCCCTCAGTCAGGTCATGGTTGTCCAGAATGCCAGGTATGTGACTGACACTTTTATTTTGTGTTTTCTTGGTTGTCGGTTTTGGTGAAGGTAAAATTAATTAATTAAAAAAAAAAAAGTGGTTCTGCTCATTTTGATCAAACATAGGCCCACCCTCGTCCTCACCAAAACTAACCCAGCCCTCTACAAAAAAAAAAAAACACTTCCACGCTAACATGCTAACACTTGTTTCTTAGTCATATTGCTCCGATTAGCAGTAGCTTATAGCAACCCCCCCCCCAGATTTAAAGGTGGAGTCTCTTTTCCAACCCTGCCATCGACGCACGCCACATTGTGCAAGTTCCCCAATAATGTGCATCCCGTTCCATTCTCAACCCTCGTCCACCCTCGTGTCACACATGGCTCTGTTGTGCTCTTGTTTTTAGGTGTATGTAATGAAATGATTGCCATGTGCCCCCCACCCCCTCTTACTATCCCCCACCCACCAGTGCCGAAAACAAAAGGAGGTCCAAGCCTGCGGGCAAAAGCCTGAACCCTGAATGGAACCAGACGGTCATCTATAAGAACATCCACCTGGAGCAGGTACAAGATGGCCTCACAACACCAACTTGAGCGCGATCAGAAGATGTTCAAATTTGCCTTGATCCAACCCGTTGAGGCCGTCAATTTTCTAATTCTCACCGTCTTGTGTGTGTTCAGTTGCGGAAAAAGACGCTGGAGGTGAGCGTGTGGGATTACGACAAGTGTTCGTCCAATGATTTCCTAGGAGAGGTAAGTCGTCATCCCCCCGCCCCTCACCCCAACCGGTTCCTTTTTAGTCCCCCCGGTTGATTTTTGTCCCTGTGGATGTCCAGGTCCTTATCGAACTGTCCAACACGGCCCAGCTCGACAACGTACCGCGGTGGCTCCCCCTCAAGCCGCAGACGGAGGGCGAGCACCACCGCCGCTCCCACCAGGGCCGTCACGGCTCCTCCAAAACCTCCTCGCAGCACTCGTCCCCGAAAACCGCCGGCACCGCCCACGAGCAGGACTCCCCCAAATCGTCAGTGACCAAAAGCCGAAGTCACGGCATCTTTCCCGATCCGGCAAAGGGTAGGAGAGCCGCCGGTTCCTCGCTCGCTCACACCTCCCGCTTGATGTTTGCACTTCCATCATCGTAGCTTCAGCGTCATGCTTTTTGCTTTCACATGGTCTGTCGTCTTGGTTGCCATGGTCACCCAGCTCCGAGGCCTCGCTTCAGCCAGCGTTACAGTTTCGCCTTTTTCCACCTGTAGAAAAAAAAAATGTCCGACAGCAGCCCGCTCAGGCAGCAGACCCGTTGGGCCTGAAATCCCCTATGTCTCATTTTGGTTTATTTCAGGACTTAGCAAACCTTGTTAAGAACACTGCTTTCAAAAGGTCGTTTTTATCTTGCACCGCAACCTGTTGAGGCAGCAAACAAATCCGGCCTGAATTCTCAGTCTCTCATTCTTTCCTCTAACCTCTTTGCTTGAAATGTTAGATCGATGAAAAAAAATCTCAGTTACAATATTACACACTACAAAATGGTCCTGCACCACAGCCCATTTAGGCAGCAAACAAGTCAGCCTGAATTCTATCTTTTTGATCCCTTTGCAGACTTGGCGACCGACATAACTTTGATGAAACTAATGGTAAATTGGTAAAAGTTCTCTCAAGCTGGCGTCGTACCACAGCCCGTTTAGGCAGCAATTTTCTTGTTAATTTGGTGAATGTTATTGTTTTAGACACACAGGAGCCCCCTCTCGAGAAATGTCACAGTAGCCCCAGCAGGTCGAAGCCGTCCCCGTCCGAGGGCCAGAGCCAAAGCCCCAGCCGCGGCGGATACGTGCCGCAAGCTCGCCCGCGTTCCTCCAAAAGCGCCGCTTGGCAGCAGCGCCATCAGGACGGCGGCGCCGGGAGCGGGCTCGGCGTTGCCATAGCAACAACAACAATGGGCGACACGGCGCCGCCGACGCAGCAGCAACCGGTGCCGCCGCAACGCCTCCAGCCAAGTAAACCAAGACGCAAATAAACGCCAGCGCAGCATGGCCGCCTTGCACTCATCAGCCCATTTTTTTTCTTCAATTTGATTGTTTTTATTTCTTTTCTTTTTTTTTTTACCTCCCCCAAGTACGCTTGAGTTGACCTCACAGTCGTCACCTCCAGAAATCTGCCACTAGAGGACGCCAGAGTAAAAGAGACACCATGACCAATTGTAGCAGCATCCTGCAAACCTCTCCAATTTGTAGAAACCCTGAAGAATTATTAGATGACCCAAAAATATATAAATATATAATTAAATCATGTGCTTATATTCTGTCTTTTTATTAACACTTTTGAAGATTTTCCCTCCCTGAGATGTCGTCAATATCTTTTTTTTTAAATTTTTTTTTTTACCAAAAACATATCTGAGGCTCCTCCTGAAGGCTATTGCATGCAGTCCCCTGCTTTCTTTCGTTAATTCAATCTACGGGACCCACAATGCACCTCTGCAGCAGCCGCACACCCCCTGCGCATGTGATTGACAGACAAGTGGAATTGAAGAGCGCTCTTCTCTCTCTCAATCGCCATCTTCCTCCTCTTCCCATTTTCAACTTTGACCCACGGACTTTGTATGATGGGGTTGGACCGCCCTCACCCCCACCAACAATGCCCCCCACGCCCCACCCCACCCCGGCCATCCGAAATAACCACCTTCAGGCCTACCGGGCCACCAGCGACACAGCGTAGTGGGTGTGCTCACCATTCAGAGAGGCCAATCCGATTGGCTGCCCGCCCTGCCGTCGCCGGCCAATGGGAGCAGAGCGGATGGCCGTCACCTGACCCTCAGTCCGAAAAAAAAAAAACTCCCTCCCCTCCCTGTGGTGTGAGAGGATGCTACTAACCTGCAGGGAAACAAGAAAGGACGGCAGGCTGGGATCCATGCAGCGAGACGCACACTTTTTTTTCGTGAGTCCGTGTGTCGTCGCCATGGATACCGCTCAGCATCACCACATTAAAAACTCTGAACGGAAATATAACCCAGACTAACGATGTCCTGATTGGTCTCATGCGCATCACATAACACCTGTTGTCTGTCGTCCATGTTTCATTAGTGCGCTTTTCATGACCGGTCTGTGCGCCACGCGTCGCTGTTCCCCCTCCCGGACGTTATCCGCGCTCACCGTGTCATTGTGCACCCCGTAGCGCGCGCCAGCTACAGGTCGGGTGAAGCCCCGATGACGGCGGCCTCGCTGGACAGCGGCCTGAGCGGCAGCGCCTACAGCTTGCTGGACGAGGATGCGGAGATGAACGAGGTGGACAGCGCCATCTTCCAGGTGCCCCGATTGTGAGTCCCATGCCTTTACAGATGTTTGCAGCCTTAATTCCTTTAAAAAAATATATATTTATTTATTTCTAATCAATATTTTTGATGTATTTATCTAGTGGGAAGATTCCAAATGGCACCGATGGGATGAAATCGTCTCTGGGTGATTCCGATGGTCAGACTAAAATCATTTCTATGAAATGTTTGCGCTTTCTGTGGCGCTTTTGTGTTGTGACTGACACTGCTCATGGACAGCAGAGGTTTGCGATCAATCCATAATATATATGAAATGACTCATAACTGTGTCCTCCCGGTGCAGGTAAGTCACAGGTGATGGGTGAGATAAAGATTGCGCTGAAGAAGGAAGTGAGGACGGAGGGCGACCACTTGGTCTTGGAGATTCTGCAATGTCGCAATATCACCTACAAGTTCAAGACTGCAGACCATCTGCCTGGTAATTTTTTTATTATTATTTTTTTTTTTTTTGCATTTTATAGAATTTCTTATATTGCATTCCAGGATGGTAGGAACGCGGATTCATCCCACCTGATTGTACCACTCACGACCTCAAAAGCATTCAGGCGAATGTAAAACAACAACAATTCATATCTATCGCTCAAAATAAATATTTAATGTAGTTTATTTAAAATAATTTTGACTACACATTTATCTATTTATTTTTAACAAAGAAGAAGAAAAAAAAAAGCTTGAAAATGCAACATATTAACTGCGTCTTTTCCTGTCCCGGACTGTTTGAAAATGCAACATATTAACTGCACCTTTTCCTGTTCCGGACCGCGCAGACCTCTACGTGAAGCTGTACGTGGTGAACATCGCCACGCAGAAGCGCATCATCAAGAAGAAGACGCGCGTGTGCCGCCACGACCGCGAGCCCTCCTTCAACGAGACCTTCCGCTTCTGCATGAACCCGGCGGGGCACTCCCTGCAGGTGAACTGCGCCCCCTGACGTTTAAACAAACAAAAAAAAAAAAAAATCAAATGAAGCCCGCGCGTAATAGCTGCGTTTGCTTCCCAGCTTTTCCTGGTGTCCAACGGCGGCAAGTTCATGAAGAAGACGCTGATCGGCGAGGCCTACGTGTGGCTGGACAAGGTGGACCTGCGCAAGCGCGTGGTCAGCTGGCACAAACTGCTCGCCAGCACCGCGCAGATCCACTCCTAGGCGGACCGTACCGCGTGCTGACCCGCGGGAGGCGGGGGAGGGTCATCGATCAATTTAACTTGCGGGAGCTAGCCGCGAATCCCGACGGGAAGCGGCCCGCGCAAGCTAGCAGGTACAAACCACTCGTCGTCGCAAATCCACACACGAAATACAGGGACACACATGTACAATAGATGCTCATTCACCCGCCCTTTGAAAGCATTTCTCAATGACTCACCGAGGTCTCTTATTTATTTTTCTATTCGAAGGAAGCATAAATCTCTTATCGGTTCGTCACGTGCGCAAGAAGCGAAAGTCATATATCCAACACACACTACCTAGCATTCCACTTCGGGACCTTATTTTACGTGAACAAACAGATCTATGAGATCATTTATTTAGGAATATTACTTGAGATAAAATTGGGAGTATTGATGCCACATACAGCGTGTACATAACAAAATGTCCTATCTGGAAGTATGTGGAATATGTAGTATAACTATAGTCAGAATGATTTTTATCACAGACAATCAGGTCTTGATGATTGTGACGTTCGAGTTTCCCCCTCCTACACAAGGCACCCAATTTACCGTCGTGTGTCTTTTTTGTGCACCTCTCCTCCTCGAATGTAAACGCGGCGTCACGTTCACGAGCTTAATTGTTTGATCCACGTTCTAACATCGTACGCATTAAGTGTTGCAGAAATATTCGCGTTATTGTTCTTGGTTTTTTTTGGGGGTTTTTTTGTGGTCAATTGTTTTCTATGCAACCTCGACCAGAGACCGCAGCAACGTTGTCGGTTTTCCAGCAAAAATTGATTGAACTATGAAACAGTAACACGTGTCTAATATTTTTATTTATTCATCTTTTTTATATGTATTTATTACCATTTAATGGTATTTCATCATTGTATAAATTTAATGATTTTGTGTTTATTTATGTCTCCATTTTCCGGTCACAATGGATTGAAAATACTTTTTTTTTTTTTTTAAATTAAACTTGATTTTTTCTGATTTAAGCTTTCGATTTAAAGCTATAATTTCTTCCCTATGCGACAGTTTATGTTTACAGAACATGTTGGGTGTGCTTTTTCGATAGCACATTCGCACATTCGTAGTTCTTGTTTACAAAGTTAAGTTCCAAAGGCCTGAAACTCAGAGAATTTTTTTTCCCCCCGTTTACAGAGAATTCCGAAAACCCCGCCTTCCCCGTATTTTCTCGTTACATTTCCAGCAGTGACCAAAAAGATAATTACTGATTTTTAGGTCGCCGTGAGTGTACGTCTTTAAAATGATCATGATCATTTTTATTTTCAATCCCAATGCATGTCATTAGGAATATCAACCCCCCCCCCCCACACACACACACACACCTTTAAGCGTGTAAATACACCATCTTTTTTTAAATACACCAGGCTTTGGGAGCAATAGGTCTTTTAAAGGACAAAAAAAAAAGTCCCATAAAAAAGACCAAATGTGCGGTCATTTGATTTTTTTTCTCGGTCAATGTACAGTAGAGTGTTTACTAACCACGCGCACATGCACACACACACACACACACACACACACACACACACACACACACACCTGGACAGCTCGAGTAGTCGCAGGAGAATTGTCAATGTGCTCACACTGGATGTTGCATGTTCCCTTGGTGGCTCATACTATTTTTGTGTCCAGATTATGATTATTAATACATTAAAAAAAAAGAGAGAGAATGACATGTAGAGAAGGATCTAGAACATAATGTTATGGGTTTGGGTGGGGATATTTATGGATAATATATGCTGACTGTACAAAGATGATTGTCCGGTTCTCCCCCTTCCGCACTTGTAAGTAAACAGAAAAAAAACATCTATACTGTCATGTTTTTTGTGATTGTATACAAGGAGGTATTGATAAATTATGCAAATTGTGCTGTAAAAAAATGGCTGTTGCCCGCCCCATGTCTAAATATTAAATATGAGTACAAATGAGGGTTTGTTGCGTTGTTATTTTCCGGGTGGATTTAAGGATAATCAACAGGTTTGGCGTTCAAATTCTTCAGAGGATTCGGGTGAGATTTCCGTTTTATCAGGCGTTTAGAGGTCGGGTTCGTAGTTCTTCCATGGCATAAGTTCACAGAGATGAGGTACCTGGAGTTGACCAAAAGATGGCGCCAAGTAGTTTTCCGTTCGAACGTGGGGAAACCAGGTTGGTTCACCGCACACGATTTTTTTCGATCTCTGACCTGCGCCTTCAAATAGAGGTAAGACAAAAGAAACCTAAAACAAAGTCAAAATTCTGTCTTCATCCAAGCATTCCAATGAGCTTCACCCTGCAAAATCTTTACAGAATTTATGATCATCACCATGAAGATAACACTACCCCCCTGGACCAAATGGTATCTCCCGAGCACACTTGCACTTCTAGAGTTCTACCAGCAGAGGGTGAAAGAACTTCGTATGTGGGTGTGTGTCCATTATTTTTATTTTTTTTGAGACCTCTCAACATGCTTTATTTGTGTCAGCCAGCACCTGTTGGACTCTTCAGATGTAATTCCGAACCACCAATTGAAATTCCATGAAATGACCTCTCCTATGGGGCCTAAACTCCAAAACATTCGCATAGGCTCATCTCTGGAGGTCATTTTGACATTGAGATATGCAAATAAAACACTCAAGGCTGGATGAAAGAACCTCTTATCTCTGTTCTGTCTTTTCTTTTATGTCTGCTACGTTGTCATTCATCCTTTTAGTGCTTCTTTCTCTCTGATTGATTCTTCTGATCTGCACTTCTGAAGATGTTTGTTCTCCATTGCCTTTCAAGATGCTACGTGAAAACGCAAGAGTAACATTCTCTCGATTCAATATCACTTGAAGAACAGATAAACCCTAAAGAAACTTTGAAAATCTTCCTTAGAGTTTCAAATCATAACAATGACGACAATCAAACCGGTCTTTCATCTTTTAGGTTCAAGCCAAAATGGACGCCAACTGATGGTTTCCTTTTCCTTTTACCATCCCGAAGCTAGCATTGATGATGGCACTGAGCCTTCACGTCCAATTGCCTCCAATGTCTCCCCCCTCTTGTGAGCCGGCTTCTTGTCACTGGACGCCGCCGGCCGGCCCGAACTTTCTGCTCCTGACAACACGTCTCGGCCTCACCGTAATGCGATCAGTCAGCAGGCAGGACCGAGCGAAGGCCGAGTGAGGCCAGCGACGTCCTGAGACGAGACGTCATATCACACACGGGCGCTCGCTATCGCCTACATGTGAACGAGGTGACACCTCAAAGATTGGAAGCTGAATTCTGGCTCCTTTTTTTTTTTTTTTTTTTTTAAGGTGACCTCCAAAATGTCCGTGTTTGATAGCGATCAAGTCAACACTGAGAGTGTCACGTGCAATATGTCAAAAACCAGACAGCATCTGAACATAAGAATTTCCCCATTTCTAAATATGACGATTTTTTTTAGACAGTTTTTACCCAGTTAAAATATTTTTTTTCCCTTAAATGTATTTGAATGCTTGCACCCACTAAACTCGATGCTGGGAAACCACATTTAGGTTATTTTGGGCCAAGAATCCGATTTGAGAGCCAGGATATGTCAAGCCCTCACCCAGGATGCACTCTGATAATGCTTGTTGACATTTTTCCCCCCCACAGAGACTCCTAAAATGATCCCAGAATGCAGTTTATGCTCACATTTAAAAATATCAAAAAGCTCTGATTGCGGGCACTCACTGCTGACTGCTGCTCTTATGTTGTCGTGAAATTGTAACTGACTTTATGTTGACTTTTTTTTCTTGATCACTACTCATAATTGGACTATCTTAATAAAAAGCAACAACAACAACGGTGTGGCTCAGCTGTGAAGAGTTGGCGTGGAGACTGTGGAGGCGTTGCTATGGCGACAGAAGCTGGGCAATTCCCTGGACAGGTGGGTGGAGTTGGAGGCTGGTGACAAGGATGCACCTGCTTGCAGGCCCAGGCACACACAAAAAGACGATCATTGCGCATTCATTCACAAACACACGTCTTATCTTTAGTATGCATGCTCACATCGAGCTTTGAGAAACTACGCTCAACAAGGTCGACTTGTAACTGCTAAAAGTAAAATTAACTTTTAAAAAATATATATTTCAGTCCCAAGAGGGAGATTCGATAGTTTATTTGGTTGGTTTAAATGCTATACATGTTGAACATTGTGCTTTATATTTCGCTTGTCAAAGATGTGAACAGCCGCTTACGCGTCGACATTGATTGACTCCACCCACCAATTCTGCCAAGCAACAAGTGACCACACAGGAACAAGAATGTCGGCATTTCTTTGAATGCTAGCTTGGAAGCTAAACGTTAGTTTTAGATGTACAATGGCGTTTTGTGGTAAACTAAATAGAATGTTTGTTGTTTTAAGGGTTGATAAGTTGCTTATGGAAGAGTATTTAATAATAAAATAACATTAGGATTGGTTATAGTAGTTTTTCTGGTACCACATAAATGTTCCATTTTGATTTCCAAAGTGCGAAATGACATTTTGTTTTACTAATGCTATTCGTGTATTACATTTTAATGTTCTACTTATTTGAATACACAGCAAATGTGTATATTTTCATATAATTATATATTTTTTGCTTAAATTTTGCACGTTGGGGGGGAAACAAGTAATCACCCAGGAAAAAGAATCAGGACAAGCCCGTAAGTATTTTAGTTCTCGTAATAAATTTCACAACGAATTCTTTTTTTTTGTTCTTGAGTAATAATGGACAATAATTTGCACGTTTAAAGACTTTAAAAGCGTTTAAATAGTGGTAGTGATACTAGTGACGTTTTACGAATACATTATGTAGCCTAGCTTAGCTGCTGGAAATTTTACATTTCTGTCATAAAAATAATCCTGGTTGATTCCACTTATTTACACTTTTGTCGAGGCGGGGGGGGGCACCTTTTTTGTTTTCGTGTATAATAAATTTTCTGCGTGGGTATTAATGCAACACGTGTCCACGCCCACGGTGCTGTATTTCTTACAGTGTAACACTAAAAAAAGAAAACGGGGGGGGGGGGCACGAGCATCAGCTGTGCGAGTGGGGGGCGGGCTGTGTGGAGAGATTTGTCTCGCGTGTGTTTGTGTGTGCGCGCACACGTTTGGTGGACGAGTGCAGCTAAGCAGGACGCGCGACGACGTGGATTTGTGAAGCTGCTTTCCTTTTTATTTCCTCCTCCTTGTTTTTGTTTTGTTTGCAGCGTTACCCGCGATGGATTATTGCGTGTGCGTACTTTTGCTGCTCTCCGGCGTGTCCTGCGTGTCTACTGGTCAGTTCCCCAACGAGCACATGTGAGTACTAAAGTGACATTTTGTTTTGTTTTGGTAATTTTTGGTCTACGAATTCTCACTAAAAGAAGGCAACACGTGTCATCATGGTAGGGGCGGGGGGATGGGGGGGGGGGGGGGGGTTCTCAGCCAACTTTTGAAATATGATTTCTCTTTTTCGAATTTTTGCCCAGGGCTGAACTTGGGTATGTTGGTGGGTGAATAACTGATATTTACACAGCATTATGGTGAAATGTGTGTGTTGATTTGGATCCACGAACAGATACACACACTGCACTATTTTTTTTTGTAAACATATCTGTGCAGTAATGTGTCTTGTGTTTTTTTCAATTAATTTATATACTTTATTAATACACACACACTTTTTTTAAACGACTATTGACCCTCCTAACCCAATACACATTGTAGTGATTTAAAATATGTGTGCACATGTGTTTATTTGGACCCACAGACACACATTGCGGGTTTTTCCTCCCCGTTAGCCACTTTATTTTTGACACGCACACCCAACTGGCAATATGCGGACAAAACTATTGGGACACGATTCCACAAGTGGAATATAAACAATCCGCTCTCCTTCCTCACCAAACCCATCCGAGTGTGTTTTGTCGTTGTGGTTCATCATAGAATGAGTTCAATCAACAGGTTTGTGAAAAAGAAAGAACGAGAAAGAAATACAGATGATTCCAAGCCGCCGCCGCCGCCCTTGTTCGTCTTCTTCGCCGTGCCCCGCCCTCTTCCTTATCACTTGTGGTGGTGAGCCACCGTGGCACTCAGCCTAATGGCCCGAGTGCGATGATGTCAGACTTGCAGAGTATATTTCGCTAAGTGGATTGATCCGTGGCTCGGTTGCATGAGGGGGGCACTCAACATGGCTGCCGCTATGGTGTTAGAAATATTCTTAGAACTTGGATATTTACACTTTTTGGTCACAGCTTGACACGACATGTAGGCCAGGTTCATGAATGTGATTGATAAAATCATTTTGGGAAGTTAAACTGGATATAAAGTGTATTTTTGATGCAGCTCTTATTATTCCTTCTTATATTTTAGGAACATCATGTCAAGGGCCGCAACGATGAATCGAATAATGATGAATAATTCAATTACAGAGGACCGCGGAAGCAAAGTCTCCGCCTTGAAGCTTCGCAGTAATAATTTTTCCACATGTATTATGTCCTTGAAGTCACACGCCACATTCTTAATTTAAAAACAGCTGATATCTGTACGACAGCAGCATCATCGCCGAAACGAAGGTAACGTATCGTAAGCAGCCTACCTGAGACTATCGCGATCGGCAAGTTTAGCCAGTTAGCAGCCAGCCAACTTTCCGCTCACTTGCTGACACCCACGTCACTCACCGGGCCTCAAACTCACACATACTACAGTAAAATGTGAGGATGGGGACCCCAAATGGACAAATTTAGTACCTGCACCTCACATGTGCATGACATCGTGTTTGATAATCCACAATTTTTGTCCGTTAATCGGGAGATTACTCAATTCTACACCTTTTTGATAGCTGCAGCCCTTTGTGAGTTCACCTGTTGTGTTTCGAGCGAGAAAGGCTACATTTCTTCTGTTGTATCCAGTTCCGTGTATTGTGCACGGCACAGTGTACGTACATCTTGGTTTCCTGTGCGTCTCGTCTCTTGCGTCGTCTTCTTCTCTTGCCCGGAGGCAGATGTGTTAACTTGGTGCACTCTGAAAAGTCCCGATGTCATAGATTATTCACACAGTGGTCTGGGGAGATGAGGACACATGACGACGAGAAGAAGAGACATAGTCCCCTTTCTGTATGTATTGATTCTCACTCCAAAATGAGATCTGATCCTGTCCTTCTTCCTCCCTCTCCACCCCCCACTTTTGTCTTTTTTTTTTTAAGGCTAACTCGATTTCATGCTCAGCTAAAGAGCCATGCCTCTCTGCTCGCTGTCTTGTCTCTGGCAATCTCCGCCGTAATGTGAGGAGGCACTTTATATGAACACAACAACATTGAGCAGGGGTGGGCAGGGTGGGGTCAGGTTGACCGCACTTTGGAGATGGCGACGCAAAGTCAACGATGAGGCGATCCCAATCGGTTACTTGATATTTTTTTGCGTCCGAAACAAGGTTCAATCTACTTCTTTTCGAGAATTAGCAAACCGCAAGTCATTCTCCCTCTCCCACTTTAATCCCTTTTGCCCCCGTCTCAACCTGGTGGGATTTATTTAGACGAGCGCCGGTCTTTGAGGAAGGGGGCGTCGATGCCAGCCCGGCCTCGAAGGGGCGGCGGGATGTCGTAAGCCCAGAAAGTTTCTCATGGCGGATTTTAATGGGAAGCAACCCATGTGTGTACCTTACATCCCCTCGCCGCACATGGGGGAATTTTTTCCACCGCTCCGTTACCACGGCAACCTGGGGAATGGCTAACAGCTGTTTGGATGGCAGACATGTCCAGGGCAGGGAGCACATCTGTACACTTGCATAGAAAGCATGGCGAGTTTTGGTACGTTCAGGCTTTTCGTGCCCCCCCCCCCCCCCCAACTATCATTTGAGTAAATAAAGGCTATTATCACGTCATATTTGCTCAAGTGCATCCCATTAAGGGGCACTCGAGGCGTGAAGTGCTTAAAATATCTCCGGGGTACTGGTGAGGTGTGCACCAGAAAAGTGGGCCCTTGACGGTGTGCGATGGCGTCAGCGAGAGTCCCCCCTTTTAACGGAGCGCTAGCGGCGTTTTAATACCAGCACTTGAACATCAGGGAGCGAGTAACCCACTACTGCGGTAACATGTAGGCGTGCAGTTAATTGGACATTTCGACCTAAGGGGGATGAACTCGGACATCGGAGAGCGGCTAAATGGATGCAAGCGGGTTTCATTTTGTTCAGCGGGTACCCTGCTGACGTCAGTGACCCGATGCTTTGATATTTGAAGGGAAAGTAGTGGCTGTACCTTGTCCCCAGACAGTCGCAGAGACCTTTTCGTTTCTTAAATAATAGGGACTGTCGGTTTTCGCTTAGACTTGGCGTCTTCGCTCGGCTGATTTGTCGAAAGAACATCATTTGTTTTCCGTCTGGCAAGATAACAAGGCCGTGAGACCTTTACAAAGGCGCCAATTATTGTGTGATTGACCTTAATACAAAAGATAGATCTCGACGCTTGTCCCGCCGGTGATACATGGCAGCTTTTTATGCCAACTTCTTTTTTTTTTTCTTTTATCTCACTAAAATTGGCTTTAATTATGTGGACTCCATTTTAAAAAGGTCACAGTGTTAGAAAACAAATGACTCTACCACCGTGTGAGTTTTTGCTAAATTGGATACCTTGTGGTCGAAGCATCCCCACGAACTGATGATGAGTCTCAATTAGGACCATCGTAGGAGGATTTCAAATTTCAGACAGTCCCTCCCAGGAATTGGCAGGAACTTAAAAATAGTTTCCATGACATCAGAAGCGCTGGACTCTGTGAGTATGGAAGCATTATGGAGTGGAAATTCCCAGATTGCCTATCGGGCCCTGGGAATGTTTTTCGTAAGCTTAGTAAACGAGATGGCGCGCAGTCATGTGGCATCTAGCTTTGCCCAAAACAATCCCGTGGTCATTCGTGTTGTCCGGTCGTCTCATCACTCGAGTTGGTTACATAATACCCGTACACTAATTAGTCACGCCCACCTCATTACCTTAAAAGCTTCTCCAACAAGGCGACAACTATGCGGATGACCTTCGGACCCGGTTGCTTTCGCGCATGTATAGGCAAAACATTTCGTCTCTGGCTATTTACAAGCAGTCGGAGCTGCTATTAATATTTGAGGAAAATCATCTCACAGTATCACTACTTTGTCCGCCCCTGCTATTCGTGTTGTGATATGTTCTCAGGCTGTTCTGCTTGCAGATTGTCAAATAAAAGCATGAGCAGGGCCCCGGATGCTTCATAAGTAGGCGTCATTAGTGACTCAGTGACAAACGTGCGAGCGAAAAGCCAAGGAGCGGGTTGCACGCTCCGATAACTTTCCTACGGACGCCATTGACGTCGCCGCTGGCTCCGCTCCTTTCCCGCGTTGTCACCTTCCCGATCTCGTCGAGAAAGGAATTCCACCGAGGCGGGCGGGCGGAAAAAGAGCTGAGCAAACACTTAAAAAAAAAAAAAAAAAAAAAAAAAAAGCCAAACGGTTTCCTCTCGCAGCAATCAGCGGTCCACCGGGGAAGTCACACATCCCGTTGTTACGCAAGCGGCGTTGATGGTTATTTGTGGAAGTGGCTAATTAGTCCACTCTGGATGGAGCCCGTCGAATTAAACAAGTGCCTTGAGATGTTACATTTAGCATCACAACATTTTCCCAAGTCCCCAAAACTCTTCGCTATTTAAACCGAAACATGGCATTTTGAGATCTCAACACCGGTATAATTCTGAGGTGACACCGGTAGAAATTATGTGCTGACAGAACTGGCCGTCCTATATCTCCCCTCAGCAACAAGCAGCTGTCCCCCCTCATCCCCCATCCCCCTTGCAAGGCTAAAAATGGCCGTCTCGCATTACACTGTATTTGCTTTAAATAAGATAACAGGGTCAGTCGGGGGTCCTGTGTCAAAGCCCCATCCCTGGCATGGCGGGTCAAGAAGCTGGCATACGCGATATGGGTGGGAGATGAGGTTCATTTTCGTTGTGGAGTCACTCATGTATTTTTTATTACCGTCATACAAAAGCTAAGGGAGGTCTGTTGGCGTTGTTTGGTTGTTTCCACTTGAGTTATCGTCGATACGAAACATATTAGTCTTGGTTTACACGGCAAGTTAGTACGTCTCATAGTGAACGGCAACATTTGTAGCCAGCACGAACATTTTTTGCTGTTTGTTCAAATAGTTAGCTGTAACATTTTTAGTCAGGACTTCTCATAAGTGAACCCCACATTGTTTAGCCAGCAGCCTCACTTGAGGGCTCATGACATTTTTAGCTAGCAGCTCTCATGATAGATGATAGTATTTTACACTTTTTTTTAGCTGGTGGTTCGCCAAGTGAAGGCACCATTTTTAGTTTGCAGTCCTACTCCCATTTTTGTGCTGTTATTGAATGGTAAAATTTTTGACTAGCTGTTCTCTAGGGAGTGCTAATCTTTTTAGCCAACAGGTCATATAGTGAACGGTTATATTTTAAGTCACTGGTAGGATTTCTCCAAGTGAATCGTTTAAGTTTTAGCCAGCAATGCTAACATTTTTACTGAGTTGTTCCAATCGTGAGCCGTACCATTTTAAGCCAGCATTTCTCAAAATGAACACGACAATCTTTTGGTGGCAGTTCTCATAGTCAGCATTATAAAGTTAAGCCAGCAGTTCAAATAAAGAACATTTTTAGCCAGGGGTACTCATCGAATTTTGATATTTTTAGCCAGCAGGTGTCATGGTAAGTGCTAACAACTTTAGCTAGCAGTTATCATCGTTGTACGCTAAAGGCTTTTGTCAGGTTTGCCATTGTTAATGCTTAGATTTTTAGCTAGCGGTTTTCACGTTGAGCACTTTTCACTGATGTTTTTTTTTTTAAAACACCAGAATACGATCTGAAGCTTTTACCCTCATCTGCTCTTTGTCAACTGTTAGCTCTGTGTGTCCTCTTGTTTCTTTTGAGAAGAATGCATTAGGCGGCCGCAGCATCCGACCGCCCCCGGGGCGTGACACTCACACTGCCATCTATGAATAGCTCTGGCCTTGATGCACGTGCAGCCTATTCATTTTGGCTAAACATTGTTATTTCACGCTTCCCCTTCAATACATGCGAGCGTACTGTACACCGTCGGGCCGTGCGGACACATTCCCCAAATGTCGTTCATTTCAGCGGTTTGATGAGTTAATTGGGTGTGCTTTGGTGTGTGCGGGTGTGTCCTCAGGATTAAAGAATGGGTGGATCAAATGCAAAAGGACTTGATCACGCTCGCGGACAAGGCCAGCGGCTTGCAGAGTCTCACTCAGGTGAGTCAGGTCAATCAAAGTCCTTGCAAAAAAAATGAATTTATGAAATGAAATGTGAATACTGTATGTTCATCATCCTTCAGCTCTCTTTGGGCGACCTTCACTCAAACACATTATTCCACAAGTCTATATATAGAGGCTTCTCATTAGCGCTAATGCTGCACTTTACCCCACATCATTCTTGTAGACTGCGCTGATTCAAGTGCGAATAATATTTTTTTTTTTTGGGATACACTTTCATGTCCGTTTAAAGGTTGATGGTACCATTCGGAAAGGTAAATAGCCCTCCGAGCCGCTCTGGCATCTGTATGTTGCTGCAAATGGCATAAAACCCAACAAAAACTGGTCACAGAACATATCTTAATAGTTTCAGTTCGAGGAACAACATCGCAAATTCTGCGGTAGAGTCGGTCTTTCATATTGTTCACCACCCGGGGGGGAAGAACCAATACATGCACTTGCCGTCTTGAGCGTCGGACATTGAAATGGCCTCTAGGCTACAAAATAATTGGCTCGTTTTGGCATTTGTGCGCTTTCCTTTCGCTTCTATTGCTCCAGCATATTCTACAGCGGACTAAATGTCTTTTAGTATCATGACGTAACCTGACATGGCCGTTCAATCACTGCCCCCATGGCACCCCCACCTTTTCTTTTGTTGGTCAGCAAGGACTGAAAGAGACCTCCACCAGGGTTGAATCCTTAAAAAGGAGATTTGTGAGTGTCACGGTGAAGTTTATTTTAGCTAATGAAAACTTACAAATAAGAATTAAAAAGAAAAAAAAAAAACGAGAGATTTAAGAACAAAAAAGAAACTGAAATTACATTTTACTTACTAAAAACTCTAATTTTAGCGAAAATGTCAATTTTTCTCTTTTTAAAATAGTTTGGTACATCAACACTCAGTGCATTTATTTAATATTTGTTGTTCAGCTGTGCGAAAGGAAGAAAGGAAAAAAAAACCCTCTGCATTTCTTTTCAGATCTACCAGAAACATAAGACACACTTCAGCGTGGAGACCAACCGAGTGGAGGAGCTGGTGTCCACGGCTGCTGGGAACATCGAGAGATTGCTGGAAAGCCGCTCCAAAGCCCTCAAGGTGAGACGTCTTGTTTTTGGGGATATAGCTTTTGTTTTATTTTTTTCGGTATCAGTCGGGGCGGAGCTCGGGCGTTGTGCCGAGGCTAGTAGGTTCTTCTAAAGTCTGAAGTTGGAGCAAAAAGTGAGCATCTTTGTATGGCATTCCGATTGACCTCGTTAATTATGAATGCACTCAAACACACCGACACCTTCGGGTCATTTAGTTCCATCACTTTGACCTCTGCTTTCCTTTTAAGCTGTTTGGACCCGGATGCGGATATCCAGGCCACCTCTGACTCCTGTGACTCTCTTCTCATTCATTATTGAAGAGTCATTTTTATCCACTGCGCTCTAATGGCCCTGCGGTCAACATCCCCCGATTGGCTGGTGTTTCCCCCCCAACAGTGGCAACTGGTAGCCCAATTCGTTAGCCCCATCTTACCTCTGTCTTTGAGGCAAGCTGAAGGTTCTTCTCAACAAGTAGCCACTCAAACTCCTGTTGCGTTCACCTTGAGGGAATCTCGTAGACCAGTTTGGGATCGCTGCCAAGAGCGCCCACACAAACCAGGACAGACAGACAGACAGCCGGAGAGGATGTCAGACAAAGATGGTGCTCTTTGAATAATGATCGGGGGTTATTTTAAGGTCTGGGATTGCATTAGTGCTGGCAGTCGATCCGAAAAAGCCTTTGGCCTCCCACCACAGGCCAGTTCCACCGTCGGCGTCCCCTTTTGTTCCCGGGGCGGCTCGCCATCGATGGAACGCCTCTTCATCTCCGACGTGTGGGCTGCCAGGCCAAGTGGAGCCCCGGGATTTATTTATTTTAATACGCTAAAGGATGCGCGGGGTTGCCAAGACCGCTCCCGGTCGCCTGGCAACCCGGCATCATGAACACGCCGAATCCTCCCTCGGCGCTTAAAAGTTTCCATGCGAATCTTCGCAGTGTTCATTAGGCTGTCACTTGAGTAACAACCCTTGAAGCGCCGCGTTGTGTAGTGGCGCGTAATTACAGTGGCGCCGCTGATCTCTGCTGTGTGTGCGTTATTAAGCTGACTCGAGGCGGCATGCCTCGAGTCGTTGGACGCTTCCGTTAGAACGCCTACATCACGAGTACATCGCACAGGAAAATGAGTGTAGAATGGGAGAGCTGTGGCTATCGTGTTGCCAGTCACAACAGCAGATGCTCAGGGTTTGGCCTCTTGAGCCCCCATCCCCCTACCCCCACCTGCACATTGCCAGGCAGGTGGCAGCTGTTTGGGGGGGTTTTGAAGTACAGACGGGAGCTGGGGTTGTGTTTACTTGCAAGGTGATACCTTGGCGAGAGGCAGAAAACAGGTGGGCACAGGGTGTGTAGTGACAGAGCAGGTTAGAGTCCTGCCATGCAGTTAAAAAAAAAAAAAAAAAAAAAAACATCTCAAATAGGACTCTTTGTTAGCCCGTCTATGGCATTTTGCATCATGTATTGGCATTTTGCTAGCAGACATTCAAAGTGATTTCCTTGTTTTAAATACACAACGTGGAATACTCTCTGTGTAATGTTTATTTTTTTGCAATAAATGTCAAAGTTGTATTCGATTCATCGATGGACTAGTTTATTCCCAGAATCGATTCTGAACACAGCCCTATTAATGATGACATGCCTTCACTTTCTGTTTGTCGTGGATTTAGAATGGGGTCATTTCAACAGCTGATCCGAGCCACTTCGGGCGGTTGTGTTGAAAAGGCTCGTCAGTGCATCGCATGTATCGCTGCCTGCTAACCAGCAATAGCTCGCCGTCACATGTTTTGGTGTGGGAGTGTTTTCTACCCCCAATGCCTCGCTTGTCTCCTCGGAGGAGTGCGACTTAGCATTTTTAAGCACAATTAAAATAGCCCAACGTAGCCAAGAGGCAAAGTTGTTTTGCGCTCGTGCAAGTGCTGACTTGGAGCGGGTGCCCAACTTAGCCCGAGCGTCACTTAAACGTGCCACCATGTCGCCCCGCTGCCAATGAATTACACAACTTCTACACAGGAGGCGTTTTATGTTCTTTCTGTGTACTTTTCTCATTCACCAGTCGAGTAATTTTACATGTAAGTGGAACACCGGCTTCATGAATGAGGGAAACGTGGGGGTAAAAAAAAAACACAACAATGCTTAAGGGTTTCGTGTTTGCGGTCCGCCGAATCACAGTGGCACGGCGTGATCCATCCGAATGCCTTATTAGATTCCACACGATGGCTGATTGAATAATTCATCATCTTCATTTTTACCCCTCTTCTTTTCCAATTTATTATTATTATTTATTTTTTTTACACCCACTCCCACTGCAAATGACCTTTGAGTCTTATGTGGCGTTCAAGTCCCCTGTAGGCTCAGGATTTGAGAACTTCCCGTGGGAAATTAATAGTACGCCGCCTTTGTGGACCAGGTACAGATTAAATGATGGGCGCATTATAAACCCATTAACCAAGTCATTATGCCCAAATATGGCAGCATGTACAATAGGTGCATCGGGAGTGGGGGGAGGTGTTAATTATAGCATCAAGCGTGAAGAGTCCTAATTTTCACTCATTGGCCAGCCGCATCCAAATTATTACAGTTATATGATTTTTTTTTTTTTATCATTTCTTTTAGAGGCTGGCAACAGAGGCGGAAACGTTCCAAATGTATCACGAATGGCAAGTCAACAGCGAGGTGAGTCGGGAATTCATTTAATGATTGTAAAACGGGGAGGCGGTATATGTTCATTGCCATTTTCGTGATGTTATTTATTGAACTCCCCCTATGTGTTTTAGTTTGAATAATGAATGCACTTATTCAGCCTCTGGCCTTCTGGCCGCCACTTTAACCGGTGACAAATGATATTTCTTCTCCCGCTTCACCATTTATCTTATTAGCATTAAAAACACTCCACCTTCAGGCTAAACCAGCGTTTTCCATTAAAAGTCAATTATCTCCAATTGTCATGACTACATGCGCATATGATTTTCTGCGACGCAATTGCAAAGGGAATTCATATTTTGGTCTAACCCTCATTTCCTACTTGTCTGCCGTCTTTTCCCAGCCCGACAAAATCGTCTACTACAACGCCAAAGACGACGTGAGTACGCTGAAGTATTATTGTGTGGCTTCATTGAGTATTACTCGCGTTCACGCGTCAAGAGCACACTCTACTCTCCTCGCCCCCGTGGCCTCAGACGTCATCTGTCGCCTCCGATAAGCCGGGATCGGCGTCCTGTTCCCATGCACTGTCGCGGTGGGAAAGAAGCGCGCGCACCCTCGGCATACTCCTGTCACTCTGTATTTGACTGACAGAACACGCCCCCTTCCCTCTCTCTTTCACTTTCATCATCAATATATTCAATATATCTTCAACATATATACAATAATCTATAATCAACAGCAAAAACATTGTTGGTGTCTACATTGATGGCCAAATTCCAGAGGGAAATGTTCAAATTTTAAAAACAACCAGCAAAGGCAAGTCTCGGGTAGCCGGGAATCGAACATGCTTCTCGTCGTCACGACGCGTGACCGACAAGAATGTCCATGCGTGCACTTATGTCGTGTCTTTCTTTATTGCAGCTCAATCAGACGGAGAAGAAGAACCGCTATGTTCCCGAGGACTTCCACGTGGACCCCGACTTCCAGCGTCTGGTCTCGTACAACACCACGGCCGTCCACATCCCCACTGACATATACGAGGGCTGTAAGTGTTGCCGAGTGCGCGTGCTGGCCACGGCTATTATAGTTCACGAAAATTTTAAAAACAAAAAAATGTTTAAAAAAAATTAGAACTAAGTGTTAAGTTGACAAACCTAATTTAAAGACCATTCACTACTAAGGGACAGGCAACTATAGTGAGGCTAGCTGGCGTTTCCATGGCAACAGTGTCACAAAAGACGCAAAATGACTCTTTATATCTGTCGCTTTTCTTTTTTTTTTCTTTTTGCAAATGTTTTTACCCACTTTTCCCCACAGCTAATCAACTTTTCCAATCACGGCTATTAATAGAGGAGGCAAATTTAACCTACACCCCCCTCCCCCACACGACTAATAGTCCATCTTATCCCACATTAGTCGCGCTTGATTGGATTCTATTTTCCCTCATGATCCATTCCGGCGAGAGGGATCCATCTTCCTTCTCATGCCATGAATCACAGCGTGTGCGTGTCACGTTCCTCGCGCGGCGCCCGTCTTCTGCCCTCTCCGCTCATTAGGCAGATCGGCGTGGAGGCGCGGCGCGAAAGCAGGGCCTCGGCGGCCCCCCCGGCCACATATCTGATGCCCGTTTGCGCCGACGCTGTGTGGCACCTGTCAGGCCGAGGCGGAGGCGCGGCAGTGACGTGCCGCGATACTGCCATCCCGCCGCTGTGCGTTCCCGAGCCGTCTCCCCGCAACCCGGCTCGCGGCGTGGAAATAGATTTTCCCTTCCGCCGTGTCCGGTTTCATTTGTGACTGCGGCCAGAAATATCGGGACACTTTTTTTAGGTGACAAGTGTGTCCCAATAATTTACTTTTAAAATTTCATTCTGATGACACTTCATCCATGTGCTGGTTCATTTTTCACAACCGAGAGAGAAAAATATTGGGAGTGTCGAAGTGGAACTGTGTCCCAATACTTTTGTGTTGTCCAGTGACTGCAGCGTGTCCTTGAAACGATTTGGATGTCCGCCAGGATGACCTAATCAGTCGATGGACACTGGCCTTTTTTTATTCCCCTTTTTTTTTTTTTAATGGCCCACTGCAAAGTCACGTTTCTTCTGACCAGATTTAAGATCATGTGACAGTCTTTTTAACACAGAGATGTCGGCGCCGTAAAGTACAGTGACGCCTGACCGTGGTTGTCAGCGAGCAGACGTGACGATGGGCTGCTTTTCGCCACCTGGCTCGCCGCCACTTAATTGCTGTCACCGGCCGTCGGGTGGGCTATGATGCGCAGACAGACGGGCGTCCACCGCCACCGTGATGATGATAGATGTTGCCGTGATAATGCTCTATTGATACTTTCTGACCATTTTTGATCAAAAGTGTGAAGGGTTGGTTGAAGTGTAATTCACCGACTTCACCACTAGGGTGTGTTTTCCGTTATTTTTGTCATCTTGCTTGGGACTGCGCCTGATGGCGATGTCACCATTTGTCCAGAGGGGCTGTGAGAGAGAGTCCAAATTGTGAGCGTTTATCACGGTGGGGGGGACGCACGCTCGGCTCCACGGGGAGCACTTGAAGGAGGGGCCTGGGGCGTCTTCTTACCCTACAAAGCATGGAAAAGTCAGCCGAGCTGCAGGGCGATGTGGTGGCGAGGAGGAGGATTCCCCACGGAGAGAAGTGGGAGGCTCGGATGGAAAAAAAGACGATAGTGTGGGGCAGTTTATAGCCCGCTGCTGCTTGGTGTGTGTGCATGCCGAAGCAGACTACATTTGCGTTATTAGGTGTCACCGGCATACTGTATGTTATACTTTAAAAATTAAACGGCCACAATGGATGCTGACTCACTACAAAGCCATTTATCAAGTCTACTTGAGGTTGTTTTTTTTTTTTGTTAACCATGTGTCAACTTGATGGCTGTGTGTGTGTGTGTGTGAGGGTATCACAGTCACAATTATTTTAAATGAGCTTGTTTGGACTGTTGACAATTTGCATGTGTCAACTTTCTGTCTTTTTAGTTTTTATATATATTACCAAGATTTGAACTGGACTGGATGAATTTTGTATGTGTCTTCTACAGCCACCATCATTCTGAATGAGCTCAACTGGACAGAGGCCTTGGAGGACGTTTTCCGGAAAAACAAAGAGGAAGACCCCACACTCCTCTGGCAGGTGTTTGGTTCCGCCACCGGGTTGGCTCGTTATTTCCCAGGTGAGCCCAAAGCGGCGGGAAGCCGCCTCGGCGACCTTGACCGCGGCAAAGTCATCTAAAAGACGCACACGCGGTGCGTCATCACGTTAGCGATGAGCACACGCCTCCGTCTTGTGACTTTTGGCGCCAGTGACTCACTTTCTGACTAATTTGACACTTTTCCCCTCGCCGCTGCGTGTAACTTTGAAATTGTGGCCTCAAAAGTCCAAAAGAATAAAGAAAGACGTCATCTCGCTGGCATCGCGGCACCTCAAGGCCACGCTTGAAACGAAATGACTCTTTATATCTGTCAAAACACAGCTTCTCCCTGGATCGACTCCAGCAAATCGGCCAATAAAATCGACCTCTACGACGTACGCAGGCGGCCATGGTGGGTGTCGATCTACGCACGCTGCGACGCCGGAACAAAAAACTCATGTGCCGTTGTCATGCCGTTTCCCGGCAGGTACATCCAGGGGGCGGCGTCACCCAAGGACATGCTGATCCTGGTGGATGCGTGAGTGCACGCTGGAATAAGTGCTTTATGCTTGGAACCCTTTGACCGTTGACCCTGCATCAACCCGCCGGGGCGAGCGCAGAGGACGACTCGGCCGTTTACAGTCCACGTCGGAAAAAAATAAAATATGGCCTCGTGTAAAATGCCAGGTTATTTTTATACAACAGAGAGCATTCGGAGTGCAGACCTCTGCCGAGGCTTAAACTCATGGAGGACTATAAGAAACCGTTTTTCCTTCGCAAATTGCACGTTGTATGAGTGGCAGATGTTTTAAATTCCACAAAAGCAATTTTTTTTCACCTCGCTATTTTGCACCTTTTCTGCTGTTATTAAAACATTTTTTTTTCTCTGTTAAATGTAATTTTGATTATCTGCGAATCACATTTCCCACCGTCAATCTATCCATACGGCAGCATTAAAACATGTCGTCAAACTGCCCGCAGGAGCGGCAGCGTGTCGGGCCTGACCCTGAAGCTGATCCGAACATCCGTCAGCAAGATGCTGGAGACGTTGGCGGACGACGATTACGTCAACGTTGTCTATGTGAGTAATGCGACGCCTCATCCGTTTTGTTTACAGCTGAACAGTTTGTGGATTTTCTTTTCCGCAAAACAATCAAAGCCAAGTAAGGCTTTGCCGACCGAATATTTTTCGAATCGATTATTCTACTGACCTTCCCATCGAAGGTCCTCATAGTCTGCTGTAGTATCTGTGACTTTGGGTGTGTGTGGCCCGGGCCTGGCGCAGTGAGGGAAGTGGGGCAGCTTTCATTCAACTGCCGATGCATTTGTGCTTTGGAGTTGAGTTCACATGTTATATAATAACGTCTAATTGGCCCAACATATGCGTTCGCCTGACACATTTGACAAATCGATGAGCCCGGGCTGCGTGCTTACAATGTAAGAAACACGCTAAGTCAGGCACGGATGTGTTCAGTGACACTGGAAATATTCATCATTTCAAGAGGCGGGCACACACTTCGTGCGATTTTGAAAATACGGCGCGTATCCTTGGAACGGGATTACGTGTGATAATAAATCTGCAAATAAATCCGCTCGATGGCGCTCTGCCCGGCAGAAACGCCAATGACATTTATTTCCTTTCGCGCTTCAAAGGAGCCATTGATCACAATTTCCTTTGCTCTGCCTTGATGGAGCCATGCGTTTTGTTTTGTTTGTGTGCGTGCGTGTATGTGTGTGTTTGTGTGTGTAGCCTTCAAATCAAATCAGCTAAAAGCGTTTCAAACTAATGCAATTAGTCAGCCCGGCAATCACAATATCGATGCTTTTTTTTTTCTTTTTCGACTCGCTGTAAACCTTCATAATTGAATAGGGCTGTGTGTGTGTGTGTGTGTGTGTAGCCTTCAAATCAAATCAGCTAAAAGCGTTTCAAACTAATGCAATTAGTCAGCCCGGCAATCACAATATCGATGCTTTTTTTTTTCTTTTTCGACTCGCTGTAAACCTTCATAATTGAATAGGGCTGTGTGTGTGTGTGTGTGTGTGTAGCCTTCAAATCAAATCAGCTAAAAGCGTTTCAAACTAATGCAATTAGTCAGCCCGGCAATCACAATATCGATGCTTTTTTTTTTCTTTTTCGACTCGCTGTAAACCTTCATAATTGAATAGGGCTGTGTGTGTGTGTGTGTGTGTGTAGCCTTCAAATCAAATCAGCTAAAAGCGTTTCAAACTAATGCAATTAGTCAGCCCGGCAATCACAATATCGATGCTTTTTTTTTTCTTTTTCGACTCGCTGTAAACCTTCATAATTGAATAGGGCTGTGTGTGTGTGTGTGTGTGTGTAGCCTTCAAATCAAATCAGCTAAAAGCGTTTCAAACTAATGCAATTAGTCAGCCCGGCAATCACAATATCGATGCTTTTTTTTTTCTTTTTCGACTCGCTGTAAACCTTCATAATTGAATAGGGCTGTGTGTGTGTGTGTGTGTGTGTAGCCTTCAAATCAAATCAGCTAAAAGCGTTTCAAACTAATGCAATTAGTCAGCCCGGCAATCACAATATCGATGCTTTTTTTTTTCTTTTTCGACTCGCTGTAAACCTTCATAATTGAATAGGGCTGTGTGTGTGTGTGTGTGTGTGTAGCCTTCAAATCAAATCAGCTAAAAGCGTTTCAAACTAATGCAATTAGTCAGCCCGGCAATCACAATATCGATGCTTTTTTTTTTCTTTTTCGACTCGCTGTAAACCTTCATAATTGAATAGGGCTGTGTGTGTGTGTGTGTGTGTGTAGCCTTCAAATCAAATCAGCTAAAAGCGTTTCAAACTAATGCAATTAGTCAGCCCGGCAATCACAATATCGATGCTTTTTTTTTTCTTTTTCGACTCGCTGTAAACCTTCATAATTGAATAGGGCTGTGTGTGTGTGTGTGTGTGTGTAGCCTTCAAATCAAATCAGCTAAAAGCGTTTCAAACTAATGCAATTAGTCAGCCCGGCAATCACAATATCGATGCTTTTTTTTTTCTTTTTCGACTCGCTGTAAACCTTCATAATTGAATAGGGCTGTGTGTGTGTGTGTGTGTGTGTAGCCTTCAAATCAAATCAGCTAAAAGCGTTTCAAACTAATGCAATTAGTCAGCCCGGCAATCACAATATCGATGCTTTTTTTTTTCTTTTTCGACTCGCTGTAAACCTTCATAATTGAATAGGGCTGTGTGTGTGTGTGTGTGTGTGTAGCCTTCAAATCAAATCAGCTAAAAGCGTTTCAAACTAATGCAATTAGTCAGCCCGGCAATCACAATATCGATGCTTTTTTTTTTCTTTTTCGACTCGCTGTAAACCTTCATAATTGAATAGGGCTGTGTGTGTGTGTGTGTGTGTGTAGCCTTCAAATCAAATCAGCTAAAAGCGTTTCAAACTAATGCAATTAGTCAGCCCGGCAATCACAATATCGATGCTTTTTTTTTTCTTTTTCGACTCGCTGTAAACCTTCATAATTGAATAGGGCTGTGTGTGTGTGTGTGTGTGTGTAGCCTTCAAATCAAATCAGCTAAAAGCGTTTCAAACTAATGCAATTAGTCAGCACTGCAATCACAATATCGATGCTTTTTTTTTTCTTTTTCGACTCGCTGTAAGCCTTCATAATTGAATAGGGCTGTGTGTGTGTGTGTGTGTGTGTGTGTGTGTGTGTGTGTGTGTGTGTGTGTGTGTGTTTAAAAGGAGGAAAAAAATTATCAAAATGACCAAAATATTTTTTTTCTTCCACTCCACAAATACTATTTCTTAAAAAAAAAAAAAAAAAAACCTAAGACTAAAACTAATAAAAACTAAACTATAAAACAAATAGAAAGGAACAAACCTACTCTAAAACTAAACTAAACAATGAACTACAATGAAAAATCCCAACCTATTAGAACTGGCTTGTACGTGCACGAATTGCCTGTTGAATCTTCTCAGTGTTCCATGATCAATATTTGTGTTATTTTGCCTTCCTCTTCTCTCTATCCTACCTTCTGCTCCTCTAGCCTCCTTCGGTCTGTAAACCTTCACCTCACCACCTTATTTTATGACAACCGCAGCGCCGATGTGTCATAAATTTGCTCATACTGGGGGATATACGACGTCGCCGTGCATGATGGAGCCCCGCCACATATTTCCGCGACAAATATGTGTCAGTGCGTCCTCCTCTGCGTCCCCTTCGTCATCCCACATTCCCTGTCCCTGTGTTCCCACCCCCCCAAACCCGCTCCCCGAATGGCAGTTCAACGACAAGGCCACGCACGCCGCCTGCTTTGAGAACCTGGTGCAGGCCAACGTGCGCAACAAGCGCATCCTCAAGGACGCCGTGCAGGGCATCACTGCCAAGGGGACGACCAACTACAGGCGCGGATTCGAGCTGGCCTTCAAGCAGCTCGCACAGGTGATATTAATTTCTTTTTTTTTTTTTTTAATGTGGTACATTTTAATCAGTAAATTATATATGAATTTAGTACATTTTTTTATTGAGTTCATTTGCACATTTTTATTTTAATTTGGTGAATTCAGTCTAAGTCAGTGCTTTAATTTGATTTTGATAATAATCAATTTTATTTTAATGAGGGATGTATGATTTTTATTTCGTTTTTTGTTTCATATAGTTTTATTTTTTTAATGATTTAAAAATGTTTAATATACGTTGCACGATCAAGTTAGATATAAAATCTTAAAAAAGTAACTAATTTTTTATCATCCTCCACTAAATGGTTTGAAGTGGCATTGCTGAGTGTCTGTCTCCCTCTTGTGGCCAAAATGTGCACTCGCATATATTTTCTCTTCCTTCCCTTGCAGATGAACGTTTCCCGGGCCAACTGCAACAAGATCATCATGCTTTTCACCGATGGAGGCGAGGAGCGCGCCGAGGAGATTTTCAAGACGTACAACCCCAAACAAGCCGTAAGTTACAACAACAACTCACTTTAAAAAAGTTATTTTAACTGCTCTAAATCACAAATTCTCTCCACACAGGTGCGCATCTTCACATTCTCAGTGGGTCAACACAACTACGACAAAGGGCCCATTCAGTGGATGGCGTGCACAAACAAAGGTATCATTACACCACGTGAATTTTGACCAAAATTTGACACTCATTTGTTTTCAGGTTACTACTACGAGATTCCGTCCATTGGGGCCATCCGGTTAAACACTCAGGTAAAGAAAGACACGGGCTTGTCAATGGGGCCCCTTTGTGGCCATTAGGGCCCACTGCATGTAATATCAAAAATTATATTTATTGATTCATGTATGGATTTATTTTGCAGGAGTATCTGGATGTTTTGGGCAGGCCCATGGTCAAAGCGGACCGCAAGGCCAAGCAGGTCCAGTGGACCAACGTTTACCAGGATGCACTGGTAACATCAGCCCTCTTAAGCTAAGATGATGCAATAATGTGAAATGGCAATATTTGTAATTATTTTTATGTAATTTTTATTCACTTGTTTATTCTTATGTCATTGTACTTAAATTGATATGGCCACAGGTAATGTTATTATTATTATTTTTTTAACTTTATTATCCTTATTTCTTCCATTTAAAAAAAATATGTATCATTGTTCCATTTTATTTCCTTTTTTTGGGTGTTTATCTGTATTTTTAGTTTTTTATCATATTTAATTGACTTTAAACATTTCATAATTTTTTTTTTATGTGCTATCACGGCTGTAAAAGAGTGATGGAAGTTTGCGCAACTCGCTACTAGTTTTATCTTATTTCCCCACATTTGTCTTCCGAATTGGCCCTTCATGTATGAAATCGGCCATAAACGAGTGTTGCCGTGAATAGACAGAAGACAGATGTGGGGATTGCTCGGGGCGGCACCATTTTGGAGAGAAAAACAAAATGTCCATTTTGAAAAGTGCAAATATTTGCTGTTTGTTATCAGGCTCAACTCGCTATCAACCCGCCGCTAATCGGCTGCGCAACCCGATTGATGGATGAACTTTTTGTTTCGCCGCATTCAAATCATTTTTCACGCCGCTGCGAGCCGGCGGCGTTTTGACGCGGTGAAAGCGACAGCGCTGATAAGAGCGCGCCGAGCCAAGATGGACGCCTCATCCCCTTAGACCGATAAGACACTGACACAAAATGTCTCTGGGCTTCGTTACCATGATAAGCAGCTCTGTTTTTTTCACATTTGAACACTTGACATGCAGAGAACCACTTGTTATTTTTTTTTTTTGGGTGCGTGCGTGTGTGTATTTGTGTTGTGTAACTTGTACGTGTCCAACAGGAGCTGGGACTCGTCATCACAGGAACCCTACCTGTTTTCAACAAGACCAACACGGGATCCAAAGTAAGTGGTACACTTTTTGTCGCAATGCTGAGAGACGAGCGTTCACGTTCGTTGTATGCATGAAAATCGTATGAATGTAGGGAGTCAAAAATACGTCATGCATTTTTCTATTTTTATTTGGTCATTTTGAGGGTTTAACATTCACACAAGCATTCAGCATCTGTCAAGCGTTCACTCGTGGATGAGTGTCACTTTCATTACATGCAGTACACGCGATACTCGGACTCCGGGGGATGTTTTTAACTCGTCCTTGACGTTTCCTCACTTCTCCCCCGCGCCTTCTCCCGCGATCAAGGTCAGCAGCGCAAGACGAGGGGGATCAAAACCCGCGGCTCGGTGAGAGACAAATGACGGCGCGACTAAAGTGGGTCAAGATGAGTTTACGCGCCGGGTTGCTTTCCGCCGCCGCTTGGCTGGAAATACCTCGGCGCTGACTCATGGCGGCATGTTAGGCTTTTGGGAATGAAACTTTCCAGATTTCAATTGCGGCTCATTTCCTCGAAAGGAGGACTCGGAGGAGCGTCGTAATTAGCCCCCCTCCGGCAATGCATTGTGGGTCTGACTTGTTTATTTTGTGTTTTCAATTTTGTTTTTGCACAGAAATCTCAGAACCAGCTCATCTTGGGCGTCATGGCCATCGACGTCTCTCTGGAGGACATCAAGAGGCTCACGCCACGCTTTACTGTAAGACGGTCAAAAAAAAAAAATGACCATAGTACACACTAAATAATAAAATAACCACAACCAAATGGTAAAGAAATGAAAATGTCTGTTCTAATCCAAATATGCCTGCAGCGCCCCCACTGTCTCTTAAACCAAACTGTTGCTGTCCAGTTTTGGCTGCCTGCTATTCCTCGAATCACCATAACAGTGCTTGGTTTTGATTGACACTTAGTATAGTAAATTCCTGCATTTTTTGGAACTGGGTAGTCCCTAATGGAGTGTCTTGTAACTAACTGTAAGTGAATTAAAAGTGTTTTCTTTCTTGGGTAGTTTGGACCAAACGGCTACTACTTTGCCATCGACCCCAATGGCTACGTGCTGCTCCACCCCAACCTCCAGCCACCAGTACGACCTCTTCTGTGGTTTGAACATTTTTTTCCCCCATTTGCCTAAAGTGTTCGGTGAATTCGGACACAGGTCAGTGTAAACAAACAATTCATTTTCTGTTTTTTTTTTTTTTCACAGACGGAGGAGTTCCACGAGCCTGTGACATTGGACTTTCTGGATGCCGAGCTGGAGAATGATATCAAAGTGGAGGTATCACATCACATGTGCATCAGTCATTCTTGGTGCTTTTAAATGCACATTTACCATATCATATTTACATTTCCAGATCAGGCAAAAGATGATTGATGGCCTCACAGGGACTTACCCCATATCTGCTCTCGTCAAATCAAAAGATGAGGTCATTTTCTTGATGATGAATTGCATGACAGCCCCTGCGAAATCTCCTAACTTGTGTTGCTCACATAGCGCTACATTGATACGGGCCGGAGGACCTACACCTTTGCGCCAGTGAAGGGCACAGACTACAGGTAACAACCCAGCGGCACAAATGTCCACCTTTTATTTAAGACAGAAAGTGAATGAAATAGTCCCTGTTTTCAACTTAGGACAAAATATATAAAAGTAAAGGTTAAATCAAGTATTTTTAACATGAAGTATTGTTGTGTGTGTCAGTCTGGCGTTGGTGCTGCCCAACTACAGCTCGTATTACATCAGGGCCACCATCGGCGATACCATCACCCAAGCAAAATGTAAGTCTCTTATTTTCCACTCATGAACATACTTCAGGCCCGAAGCGCTTCCACACGCCTGGCGGGCGGCGTGTTTCGTGACGGAAAAACCGCCGACGTTCAACGCTCGCCATGTAAGGCGGCGGAGTCACGATGGTCGCTATCCATCATGACCACGCACACTGTATATATGTCATCTCTTGTTTGGCTGTTGGCAGGGCAGGCTAACTTGTGGTGTGGGTTCAAAGTTGCAGACAAGCGTGTCTTCTTTCGTACGCGCAGTGAAAATCGCTCACAGGTTATGTGGCGTTACCCATTAGTGTGCTTTCTAACCTAGAAGACCAAAACATTTGTATGTATAAACGGCTATTGTTTATTGTAATACAGATTAATTTATTGCTTGTTTGTTTAAAAAATACATGGGAAAGAGGACCTTTAAAAAAAACAATTCAATTCAATTTTTTGGGGGGGGTTATACATCTTTTTTCAAAATCGTTCAGCCCTAGTTTACAACTACTTCGCACAGCAAGCAGCCAAAACAGAAGGGCTTAAGTGTTGTACTTCCACACCCTACTTGTTTAATCTTGCTTTTTATCGCATTGGATTTTCCTAGAACTCCCGTCGGATTATTGCCAAAATCAACTGGCAAGCGGGCTTTCAAGCCCTGCTCGACATTGATAATCCGTCTCAGCGTGGGAGCATTCCATCTCCTCCCCTTTCATCACTTATTTGCTTTGTCTAAATCTGCTTATTAGCACCTTCGGCGTCAGTGCAGGAATGTATTGGAGAGAGAAAAGAGGACGCTGTAAATTCTACGGCTTTTCAGTCTGTACGCCACACAACTCGACACCTTTCACGGCGAGCAGCGGTTTGGCAGGTAGTGAGCAGTTCTTCAAAAAAGGGCCTTCAAGCTGTTTGTTGCCACGTACAGTTGGCGTTAACTGACAAACTAAATATAACACATCATTTATTACAAACATAATACTCTGGGGCGTAGATTCTTTATCCTCTGCGAAGAACGGCATTTTAATGATTTCACACTGTGTGTTTTTTCATGCACAATGCAGTATTCGAGTGCTATTTTAAAAAAAACGAGACACATTACAAACCTTTTTGTTGGTGTTATTTAATCACATTTTCATTCACCTCCCACATTTTGATCAATAAAAATGGTGGGACTTTACAGCTATGTATAAATGTTTGATCTTTGATTTTGGGGAACGTATACTGTCTGTACATTTTGGATTGAGAAAAGAACAAACAGTTCAAAAACGAGTTCACTGGAGTACATCAATGTAAAAATGGACTCCTGCTGTGGACCTTTTTCTTGCATCTGGATCTTATTTACTTGCTTTTCAGTGTTATTTTTTTCACTTGTCTCCAATATTCTTATTCACTTTGAATAAAATATTGTGTAATCCTGTTGTATTTGCCCTCCCCACTCTCCTTTCCTCCTCTTTTCCTGACCTGCTTTTCATCTCCTGACCCCGTGGTATGTCGGGATGCCTGCAGCATTTCTGGGCAAGTATTCATTCTCCTGATCTCCATCCCGTTTCTTTATTTTAATTGAATTGCATTTTCCGGTGATTAATAATGACAGCGTGTAGTAGAGGCCGGCATCTGCTTGGCTTCGCATGCGAGTGCTGCCCACACAGCGTCTGTACGTGTCTTAAAATGCTCCCAACCCACCTGCTCCTCTGGCCCTCAGATGTGGTTTTGGCGCTTGAAGCGGCAGGAGGGAACAGCATGTTTGCGATACGTTGAATGTCTTTTTGGAACGGAAATACACCAAAAGTTTGATTCGGGACAATCTAGATCATGTACCCTAAATTGAAAGACAAAAGTGTAAAATGCTAAAGGAAAAAAATCCCTCACCAAAAGCAGAGCTAGCACGAGGCCACTGTGCCATCTGTTGGTTAAATCGTGACACTACAAGAGATGAGGTGATCTGGCGAGTGCCGCTTTTGATCTCTCCTCATGTCTTCAACATATTGTTTTCGGACACTTTTAATCAGCACACACATTTTCCATACTCAAACTACATTAAACATTTGCCCATCATATTAAAAGTACAGATAAAACCGTAAGGTGAGGCAGATCGTTCTCCTGCCTCACAAAGATAGACTTGCAAATAAGTAGGCTCGCCCACAACATAATTGAACTCATGGCTCAATCTACGTCCGCGGCGGGCGTGGAGATCCCCGCCTTCAGACAAATGTATTCAGTCGTCACTCGTCTTCAATCCATTGTGGCGACGCATGAGCGAGCGGGACGTCCGCGAAAAAAAAAAAGGCACATGGCTGCAATTACTCGCCGATAACCAGTGAGGACAAAAGATTGGCTGTCGTCATGAGAACTTGAACGTGCGGTCGATTCCGCGTCATGTATTGTAATGCTAGCACGCCCGCTCGCCACGAAATGCTTAAAGAACTCCAGACCCTCATTTTTTTTTTTTTTTTTTTTTTTTTTTGAATGCCTTTTCAATATTTCTATTCAGGACTGGTTCTTTGAATAAAATATTGTGTGACCTTTGACCCTGCTGTGGTTTCAACCATTTTCTTTTCTGTTCCCTATCGGTTCTCCTCACCTCTCCTCTCCTTCCACTGCAGGGAAAGATGGCAAGTACAGCATTTTCATCGATTGACTACTTTAGTTAGGCCCACTTTGAAGATGTCCATTCAATATTGTGTGAATGATAAAGAGCCACGCATGCCGTTCCACATTTCTAAACCGATTCCACGTTTTTCCGAAATGTTCACAATCAAATTTCAAATCAGTCCAACTTTGGAATATTCGACGCATCTCGGGAACATTTACGACCGTCCCAAAATCCTCACGTTAAGAGAGATCAGTTCAATTCATGCGCATCAGCTCTTCAGCATTCACATGCATTATCTCCAGAAATTGCTCATTAGTTGCATTTGAATGGACGTTTTTTTCCAGCTGCGTCTGCAAAAAAAGACACCACTTGTTCCAAAAATGTGGCCTCCTTTTGTAATATTTCACACCTTTCACCAGTTTCCGAGAGCCTGCTGGCGGACAAGTTTGATGAATACGGCTACACGTTCATCGCGCCAAGGTAAGATGGAGCGCGTTTCATTTTTTAATTGACACGACATTTATTTCTCCGCCGTCTCGGGTTTCCATCTCGTTAATTACTCTCGCCGATGTTCCGCAGGGTGTACTGCAAGGACCTGAAGCCGCCCGACAAGGACAAAAGCAACACGGAGTTCCTCATGGAGTTCAACAACTACATCGACACCAAGACGCCAAACAACCCGATGTGTGAGTTTGGACACTTGGCCGCGGGCTGACGTGCGCCATCAATAACCTCATGTCCCAGGTGGCCAGAGAAAAATAAGCGCGAAATGTGCTGAATCCGCTCCGTTCCCACCACGTACTGTTCCAAAAGTATCGGGACACACAGGGTTGGTCCCCTTTAACTATAAGCGCTTGTGAAAATAAGTTCTTTTGATCGCGATACATTTCGCAATCAAAAGACTGCGCTACAAGCTGAACTTGTTGCGCAGGTGAGACATCTGGTTCGAGCATGTCGAGGTCCCATCCCCTGAGCCCCCCTCACCCGTCATATTCCAGTGGTCTGGCTGTACGGTTGGCTGTGCATGACCAGGCAAAGCTTTTTGTGAAATAGAACCACCGACACCACCACCTCGCCTCATGTTGCCCATTTGAAGCTAACTCCAAAAGTCTGACCATCACACGCCTGAGCGCACATGTGTGAAGCACATCGGCTCAGATGTGAGACGCGCGCGCACACGCTCCGCCGATCTGACCGCCCGACGCGGTCCAATTACTGTGTGTTTTGTGACAAAGAGCAGGACGCGTCAGGGCGAGAGCACGAGCCGGGGCAGTAAAACCCAAATCAGGGGCTAGCGGGACATCTGACCAAGGCATTAATGACCGCTCGCGTCCGCGTCGCCTTGTTTGTCGGCATTGTCGCAACTCGGCCCCCCCAAACACGCCGCCAATAAAACCTCTCACTCCATTAAGTGATTACTTTCGCCGTTATTAGCTGCGAGTTTAACAGGCGGGTACTTGGGGGAGGGGGGGGGGGCGCTTTGCCAGGTTAAGCCACCGCAGTGGCGAAAAAGTCAGAGGACATTAGGAATTCCTGGGCTGCCTTCACTAAAGGACCCGTAATGAAAACCACGGCGGGCGAAGAGGTGGCGGAGGGCCTCGGAATAAAGTGTTAGAGCAGCTGTTCTCTGATGTGTGCGCCGCATTATAAGGCTTGCATGAAGTGGCGGGGGGGTATCAGCGAGACTCCAATGTTTATGGACTGGAGCGCAGGCTTCAAAGCAGCTTATGGGGGAAAGAAAAAAAAAAGCAGCCTTTATCGCCTGTTGTGTTTGTCATGTGGTCTTGTCGGAGGTCTCGGCAAATAATTTGTTACAGCGAGCGGCCGCCCGCAGCTTGGCAGCCTCCTCGCTCGCTCTTGTGGCGAAATGTTTCGCCGCGATCCCCTTTCGCGTGACGGCTTGTTAAATTATTACTGCACGGCTTCTTTATTTGTAGACGTTGAACAACCTGGAACTTTTTATGTCGAGAAAATGTAAACCCTATCACTGTTTTTGACTTGCTCCATCCATTAAGTCATCTGCTAATCAGAGGTCCTTTCGATGAAAGTCACACTATGTAAATATAAAAATGATTCCCAGCCTTTTCCCTGTCCCTTTCCATATCATATATACGCACGTTTATTTTTCTTGCTGGCGTTATTTTATTGCTTTTCCATCTCAATTTTTTCCACACATCATATTTCATTCCACGTTGGCTGTCGATATACGCCATGCATTTATTCAACACATTCCTGCAGATAGCCGCTACGTTCCGGGCCATTAGGTTCCCAAAACCAAAACTACAACATTTCCTCCCGCCATCCCCACAAAGATGGACAATCAAATACATTACGTTTGACAAATTTTTGATCTGTCAGCAGACAGGCGCAAATGGCTCGGGCAGATGTGGCTGATGCTGTTTTTGCTCTTTAGGTAACGTGGAGCTGGTGAACCGATTACTCTTGGATGCTGGCATCACTTCAGATCTCATCAAGATCTGGAAGGAGAATAAGTTGCAGTGAGTGAAAAAAAATAAATATCATGCTGTCATATCATCACTGTGGAATTTGTGTAACTGTTTTGTAGGCCCGGAGTCACTGCCAGATTTGTTGCCACTGATGGAGGGATTACCCGAGTCTACCCAAAAAGGTAGTAGAAGCTTGATTCCAGTGTAAAAACAAACATCACTCGATGTAGGTGATGGATAATGACATTTCCCAACATTTAACCATCAATTATCCACCATCCGAGTGTTGGAATCATCACATCTCAGTACGCTGGCCCTTACATCGCTTATCTCCTGACTTTTCCGTAATCAGATAGGATGTGGATCCCTGCTGTTCCTGTCCATTTTCCACTCGCACAACCTTGACTTGTTTCTTCCAATGCGCATCCCCAAGGGTGACCCTTTGAATCCAAAACAAATTGAGAGAGTCCGGTCTGCATAAATGCTTATTTTTATGCCGTATTTGCATCAACAGTGGTCCTCAATGAAAACCACTTTGGCTCTAAAACAGATCCCTGAGGTATGCCCAAAGAGAAAGGTGTCAATAAATATAGGATGGGGTTTAATTGGAAACCTGTTAAGCACTCGAACTAAACATTTATCTACTACCAGACAATCAATTTTTCCACCGCTAAATGACCGACTTAATTCTTCCCACTACAGCGCCGGCCTGAATTGGAGGGAAGAGGCGGAGACGTATGAGTCGAGCTTCTACAAGCGAAGTTTGGACAATGACCTGTACATCTTTACGCCAACGCCGTACCTCAAAGACAACAGTGAGTACGCGGCGACTCCATTTCACATGCGTTGCCTCCAAATACAGTGAATCCTCGTTTATTATTTTTTAATTTTTTGGTAGCGAGCGACGACTCGGTCCTCGTGAGCAGAGCTCTCAACCTCAAGATCGACAACAAGCTCCTCAAGCCGGCGGGTAAGAACACGCTAGAAACGAAACTTAAAATTGCAATTTGTCAGGTGATGTGTCAACACACTCACACTTTAAGACGCCTATTTTAAAACCGACTTGTCACCTGCTGCATGACACAGACGCCCGTCACACACTTTGTCTACTCGCTGTGACACGCTCACACAAACCACACATCAACCTGTCCGCTCCCTCTGTGATCCACGGCCAAGTTTTCCTACGTTACCGTCTCCTCGGTTCAGAGAATAAAGTTGACGCCAAGGTCCGACTTGATGGAGAGTGTCTGGGGGTTTTTGTTCTGTATTGTTTTTTTTTATTCCCAGTCGTTGGCGTCAAGTTGGACGTCAGCGCCTGGATGGCGAGCTTCATCAACACCACGCTGAGGACCAACGTGAGTTACATCTGCACCACAAAGACACAAAAATGGGAGTCTAAGCTCTTGTTTTTTGTTTGTTTTTTTTTTGTTGTCACAGTGCACGGATGAAATCTGCGGCTGCCAACGGAACGATATGGTGAAATTTTATTTCACTTACTTTTTTCTTATTACTTTTTCAATCATCTTGGTTTCAGGTTTTGTGTTCAAGCATCTCTGTCTAATTCCAGTACGTGGACTGCGTCATTCTGGACGACGGTGGCTTCTTGGTCATGTCCAATCGGGACGAATACGTCAGTCAGGTCGGCTATTTGCTCTAGAAACACAAACTTATGCCAAGTACAACGTTGTTAGGCCTTGAGAAACATGCTAATGAAGAAGAAAAAAAAATCCACAAATAAACAAATGAAAGCACCCAAGCACAATTTGCCTAATTTGTTGACATGCGAAAGCAGACTCGGCTCCAATTGATTTTTCTTAAAAAGCTAAAAGGTGAGCCGGGCCCCCCGCTGTGGTTTGCCTAAATGTTTTTTCATGTGCTGGCTAATCAGCGCCGGGCGTGCGCTGGATAAATCAGGCACCCTCTGAAGTTTGGCAGCAGCACTAAAAGTTGAGGCCTCATGTGTGCCCCTCTGTCGTATATCTCGCGGGGACGTCTAGTGTACTTTTCTCCGCTTCTTTATATGCGACCTGCTCTCCCCCCACTTTTTTTTTTTTTTTTTTTTGTCCGGGTAGTCCTCGGGGAGTCTGTGGGCCAACAGGGCGGCAACTGTTCATTCATTGGAAGTGTCGCACACGTGCGGGGCAACCTGAGACCAATTTAGGCAAAGACATTTAGGGGTCACGTTAACGTTGATGACACCAAAGTCCACCGTGCATTTGCTTTTCAGGTCGCGCTATCAGCATCACCGTTTTAACCAATCCAAATTTTTTTTTTGCGATGTTGCAGTTTTTTCCCCCTACAGTTCAACTCTTATCAAATTGCACATGTCTACATGATCATGACATTGTGTCATTAACCTGACTCTTGTCTTTAATTCATGTTTTTTTTTTCCCCATACCGACCACGCCTGCTCGTTCAGATCGGACGCTTTTTCGGAATGATCGACCCCATCCTGATGGTCACCCTGGTCAACTCGTCGCTCTTCACCTCCAAGAAGTCCTACGACTACCAGTCGCTCTGCGATCCCGTCAAGGAGACCAAGGCCGCGGCGGGCCTGCGATCCGTTTATGTGGTGAGTCACATAAGTTAGAGCCTGTCAGTACTCGCACACACACGCGTTTGTCAACGCGTTTTGATACGTGCACTGATTTCCCGACATGCTACTTAATCATAGCAACAAATGCACACACACACACACACACACACACACACACACACACACACACACACACACACACACACATGCGCGCGCGCGCACATACATGCACGCGAAAACGCCAGGGAGCTATAAATCGTCACAGCGCAGATGAGAAGGGAAGCAGAGGTCCAGCGAAAGCGTCGGAGTGGGAGTTGCCGTAACGCTAACAGGATTAGGTGGTCTCGCATGCTCGGCCGACACGCCAAGCGGCAAGCGCTGTTTTTCATCACCCTGCTATTTTTTTCCAAAACGCTCAACTTGGGAATTCTCCCAATTCCCCCTTGGAAATGTGCTCATGTCGAAGAAAACACAAATTGGGGAGGGTTCGGCTGGATGTGACATCACAGCAAAAATATCCATCCCTGAATGGAGTCCAAATAGTTCAGATTTTTAGTCAGCGCTTTGATGACTTCTACTAATGATGAACTTTTTTTCCCATTATGCTCTGATTTATTCTTGGAATATGAGGATTTTTTTTTCTTAATTTTCTTGAAATATTGCGACTTTTTTTTTTTTTACAGAATACAAAAATCAATCTTTTTTAGCAGTATGTTTTCAAAACAGATTATATGTGAGATTCATTTTTTTATTAAAGGACAACTTGATCAAAAATATTACTTTTTTTCCATCACTTAAAAACCTTGTCATGACATGTAAACTTTTTAAAGTTGAAATATTAATTCTTTGCAACATTTGGGTTAAAAAAAAAAATTACAAATTCGACGTGAAAATGTATTTTTTCCCATAATAACAACCTTTTTGTCACTTTTTTTTTTTAAACATAAAACTATGCAATGTGCATTGTGTTTTAGTGAGCGGAAAACTTTATTGAAATGCCTAAATTTAGTTAAATGACTTTTTTCTTCACATTACGATATTTTTAATTGAAGTTAATGGAAAACGCTCACTTTGTTTTTGCGTAAAAAAGAAAACTTGATTGTGTTTGTCACGTAACTTATTGTGTAAAAGTTTTTCAAAATACAAATGTTACTTGGTCTTAAAATGTTACTTTGCCCATCGTAGCATCCTCCACTGAATTCCGTATTTTTTTGTTGTTAATATTAAAATTCTTGTCAGATTTATCGAAAAATGTGGAGGAAAAAAAAACGTAACTGCATGCAGTTTCACTGACATTAAAGGCCAAAGTATTAAGCGGTCTATGCGGTACGCTACAATTGTCAAGTATCTTCAAAATTCCCAACACGGCCCACAAATGCGTAGGAGCATTCACGTATCGTACGTGTGATCAAAGACACATTTTACTCGCTGTGTGACTCGACATGTCTGAAAGCTACGTGACTGATTGGCCACAACGAGGTCCTCGCATGCTAGCTGTAATCCAAACAACATGGCTAACAGGCCCTTGATTCAAACCTGATGTTGTTGGTTTTTCTTATCTGTTTCTTTTTTGTATGAACTTTCACTGCTGCGTTTGCTGCTTCCCCCTTCCCAGCCGTCCATCGCGGATATTTTGAACGTAGGCTGGTGGGCCACGACTGCAGCCTGGTGAGTCCTTTTTATGCGGACCGTACCTTTTTTAAAAATCGTTAATGGTACAGATATTAAAGGGAACACATTTTTGAATCCTAATCGGCTGATTTTTGCGTCAATATTTACTTCAACTTTATCTGCTCTCAGGTCGATCCTGCACCAGTTGCTGGTCAGCATCACATTCCCGAATTTCCTCCACGCAGGTGAATTTCTTTCCGAGTCCGCCTTCAATTCACGTCAGGTCTATCCGACGGTGTCAGTCAAAACTAATGCCTGAACGAAAAAAAAAAAAAAACTTGGGCCACAGCCGACATGGAGGAGGACATGTCCGACATCGTGCATCAAGAGGTGTGCATCACAGAGCAAACGCAGTACTACTTTGAGACGGGCGACCTTTCCTTCAAAGGAACGGTCGACTGCGGAAATTGCTCCAGGTAAGAAAAATTCCACCTTAAACAGTCCCCAACGAGGCTTCGCTTGTAAAAATCACATGCCTTGAAGGTGAAGTCAAGTCACTTGTGAGCGGACCACCGTCCTGGCACGTCGGCAGCCCCCCCCCCTCCCCCCGGTCCCCTTTGCGTGTGCATGCGCCATTTTAAGGCCCCCTCGTGCCGTCTAATGGAGTGCCTGCCCTGCATGCGGCGCGGCATTCCTGCGCATTAGCCGCACACGTTCCCCCCTTAACGAGCGCCATAAAAAAAGGCAGAGAAAATCATTTGTGCACCCCTGACATGGGAATTTGGAGAGATTTGAGTTTTTGTTCCTTTGGGACGGAGCGCCATTAAAAAAAAAAATGCATCTATTTCTCATGACTGTATGATTCGTTACTAATTCCGATTTTTCTTCCTGTTTTCGATTTGGCCGATTTTGCCACGGCGGTATTTCCTCATGTTCCGTCTTGTGCGGTGTTCACTTTCAGACTGTACCACGCCGAGAAGCTTCCCAACACGAACCTGGTTTTCATAATTGCCGACGCCAAACTCACCTGCTCGTCCTGCGACACCAAGGCGCTCGTGCAGGATGAACAGCAGTGTATCCATCCGCCTACTTTGAATAACATATCCCATGAAACGAGTGTAAATCCCAGAGTTTGGTTGAACTTCCTGACTCGGCTCTTTTAAGCGAACGGCCCTGATCCCTGCGAGCTAGCACAGAATCCTCGCTACAGGAAAGGACCTGCGGTGTGCTTCGATAATAACGAACACGTAAGTCTTATCGCTACTCAGATGTTGCTTTCCAAACAAACAGCTTTGCTTGTTTGCAGTTTGATGCTTGATTTGCATCCGAAACGCCTTCCAGCTTTGTTTGCGCCAGGATTGTTTGTTAGCTAACATGGCTTCTTATCTTTAGGATCACACTTTGCGCTTATTTTGACCACAAATAAAATGCCTTTGATTGATTTTATCCTATATTACATCCAAAGTCAGGAATTTTTTTTTTGTTACTTTTTGCTGCTTCAATAATGTTACGTGGTTGAATTTTTCACACTGTTTTCCAGCAAGGCTAATTTTACAACCATGCGAAATATGAACATGCTTTTAAAGCAGTGTAGCCCCACAACGTCAAATGTTGGGATCATGTTGTCACGTTTACTGCTCTACTGTTGTCAATTTTTACTTTAGTATCGTCGCTGAACGAAGAGTCCAAACATTGACCGATAATGTGGTTAGCGTTAACAGTGACAAATTATTCATCCAAACTCTTGCTAGCTGGTTTTTGCTAGTTTGCTCAACTGGTATGTATGTCCCTAGGAATAAGCAGTGGTTTCAGTTTAGCATTTTTTAAATTAGATTATTATTATTTCCCGCCACATTGGACCAGCTCAGCTAAACGTGCGCTTGTATGTCATTTTATTATTATTATTATTATTATTAACCTGCGTTGCTTCCCACTAATCTCATTTTCCTCCGAGCGCTTTTTGGTGCATGATGTACTGTCTCGTTTTCCGCTCTGTGATTGGCCTGCCGCTTAGGACGAGGCCCTGTGCCGGCGTAGCGCCGGCTCCCCCTCAGTGTCCTCGCTGCTCGTGTTACTGCCGCCACTGTTCGTGTGCTTCGCCGGGTCAGTCCGTCTTTTCTGGCTGTCATTTTTTCCCCTCAAATCGTATATCTTGTCCGCTTTTTCCACAATTTTTTTGGTTTATGTTTTGTGTCGCTCCGCACCTGTCACCCGCACGCACGTTCCGCCGGCATCTGTTTTCACTTCCCTTGCCTTCCCCGCTGATGTTTTCCCCATCTTCTTGCCCGGCTTTGAACTAGCCAGCATGTTTTCCCGTGTATTGTAATCCTCCGATGCACTTTGGTGCATTGGAACAATTGCCAGTGCTGTTGTGTCTGAGACGCAATGAATGAAAACTTTGAATCACACAAAATACTTCTTTTTTTTTTTTTACCCACCAAACTGCGACAATCAGTTTTGTCATGATGACAAGGTCAGCTGACTGGCTAAGCTAAAAACACAATTTGATTAAAAAAAAAAAAAAAGAAACAAAAAGACATCTATGAATCATTTGCTTCATCCAAAGTCTTAGCCAGAGGTGAGATTGGGGGGGAAAAAGTAACCCCCAAACAAAGTCAGCTGACTGAGCTAACGTCGCTAACCCGTGCTGACGTTGCGCCCTTATTGGAACTCCAGGAGGAGGACCCTGATTGTGGCGGGGCGTCCGGCTTGAGTCCCTCGCTCTGGCTCACCTTGGCCCTTCAGTTGGTATTTCTCTGGGTACTGTGCGGTTCTGGACTTCGCACCGTCCCGTCATGACCTGTCCCTTGCCCCACCGCCATTTCTCTACCAGCATGCCTCCGGAATGACAAACGAGAAGAGCTTCAAAATTTTTAACCGAAGAGCCCTCGGATGGTCCCGACCCAAAGAGGACTTTATTTGGTGGCGCCATTGTTTTCCTGAAGTGGGGCTGCCTTATTGGACTTTGTTTAATTCAAAACTGCCAGAAGCTAGCAAGCAGTTTGTTTTCAATCCAGTGCAAGGGGGAAAAAAAAAAAGTCGTCATCACAAACTTTTGCTCCCGGTACGCCTCCGCCGGGATGCAGATAATTTTTTTTTTGGTCTGGATTCTTCCCCGCTCCTGCCACTGTCTCTGGAACTTGTTTACTTTGTGCTCTTCGTCCAAACCGAATCCTCAGCCTCCTTCTGTCTGGAATTCTTGGATCGAAAACTGCCATGCGTACGCGTCAACCAATCAGTACGACCCAGACTGAAAACTCTCTAGTGCCATGTATGTGATTCCGATGCTAGCTTGTTTATTGGACTATTTATTGGAGGTTCGAGACTACTATCTGCACTTTGTGCGTACAGCTACTGAAGTCCACGTTACCATCCTTTCTTTGCTTCCAACTTTGCAGGACTGACAACAAATCGGATGCAAACGGAGCTTTTTATTTATTGTGGTCGTTCTGCGCTCAAGGTCCGATTTTGTAAAGTTTTAGGCTGTGTTACAAAGTCAACATTTGGTGGTTTTATGGTCCACTGCGCCCTAAAACCAATGATTTGAGAGATAAAGCCTCAAAATGTGTTTTGACACCTTCACACTTGTCTGTTTTTTTTTGTTTGGGTTTTTTTTTTTTTTTTTGCTTCAAAGTTGAGAAACGCCACCGTCACTCTCGCGATGGTTGCACTTTATAATTTAGCCAAAACATTGCGCTCTTGGTGGAACTCACGACCGTGGTTGTCATTTACTAACAAGGGGAGAAAAAAAAACAAAACAAAAAAACAAAAAAAAACAAGTGCCATAACTGAATTATCTCCTTTTCCGAATACGTAATTTCTGCAAGTTGACGTCAAGTATCGCGCGATGATCAGCTGTTACTGCCTTTGTTTTCCCTTGAGGAGACAGCATCCACTGTCTTTTGCATTACGATTCAGATCCTGATTTTTAGCACTGACAAAGCGGTCTCGACACCGTGAATTTAAAAAAAAAACAAAAAAAAAAACAGTGTTTAAGTTAAAAATGCAAAAATCCAATGCTGTCCCCTCGGGAATAATCAACACGGGAAATGAAGTGTTTCCGATTCCGTACAGGTCGCAGAAATCTTACGGATTGGTGTGCGTTTGTGTTACCAATGTGTGTGTTGTGTGTTAGCATCGAGCCCACCAAGGGCCGTTTTTTTTTTTAAGACGGTCCACATGTACACGGGTATTTTAAAAATTGTGTTTCACCGCGATAGTGGTAAGTCCACATGCCATTTTGTTGTACACTTTATCAACAATCAAAAAAACAAACAAACTGCATGCGATCCATTTTCTGAAAGGTCCGTCTAAAGTGACCGAAAACTGAAAAAAACATTTTTTTAAATACTGTCAATCATGTGGACATCATCTTAATCTCCCTCGATTGTACTTTAAAAAGTTACACTGATGTGGGGGGAAGAAAAAAAAAAAAAAGATTTGTACAAAAATTCTGATCAAAACGCGTGTTCATCCATGTGCAAATATTCAAAATAAAATTTTATGATAACAATCTGCTGCCTATATGGAGTTCTTATCCCCCCCCCTCCCAACAGATCACATGACTGCACTATTGATGGTCGGCCAACGTCAACGCCAGGTTGGATTTTGCTCACAAAAGGCTCCATAAATTAACGCCGGTGTCACCTCGGGCTTGTCGATCGAGCTGCGATGGATGCTAATCGTTAGCGACGTCCACTTGGGATGCGACTGCAGCTGTGCCCCCCCCCCCCCACAAAAAAAATAAAAAACAAAGTGTCAGTTTACGCTTTTATGGCGCACGTTAAAAATGGAGCGACATGCTGCGAGGAGAAAAAAAAATACAATCAGCGGGGACATTTTAAAAGTGGCCAATTACCACGTCTTATAATGAAATAGTAGCCATTTTTTTTTGTCTTGGTAGCAGCTGGTGAATGACCACTTGGAGACCAATCATTGTGGATTGACATCATCATGACTTCACGGCGTGTTTTATTCAGCCATTCCTGACGATAGCTAGTGTGACATCATGTGTATTCTTTCCGGCGTTTATACGCAGTGGGGAAAGGGCATTAAATCTGTTTTAGGTTTATTTAAAAAAAAAAGGCATTTTTATAAAAGTTCCTCCTCATGTTTTATGTGTTTGTTGAATTTTACGTTGGGCCTGACCAAATGCAAGTTGTACGTGGCCCACCCCTGATCGAGCCCAATAATGAAGACGGAAAGATTTACTGGCCCCACTTTTTCCTTCCTTCCACGCTCCTCTTGGACGTATTTTCTGACTTTTCCTCAAGTGTTATTCCTCGTCTTCCGCGGATGAGTTGCGATGTCAACAGCACATGCTGTATTTCCTGCCTGGGGTGGGCCCGAGGGTCGCAGCTCTGGATTTTGCGTCTGGCAACAGAGACTCCTCGCTCAGTTTACGCCGAGAGGTCGCCGGCGTTGTGCTTGGGTTTGTTATCCCAAGTCGGCCTCTGATTGATATCTGGCCCGGCGTCCCGCAGGGAACGTCTCCTTCAGTAAATTTGAAAGGTTGATTATGTAAGCGATTGCGTGAGCCGTGCTCTCATTATGAGCGCCGTGTTTATTTTTGCATGCTGCGTAATCGTTCCATGTGATGAAAATCCTGTCGTGCCCAAACATATTTATACACGCGCAACAGAAAGGCCTGGACTAAACTGAATAGCTTGTATCAAGGATCTGCATTCGCCATCCGGATCCCGATCACTTTCGGAGTGTGAGATGTGAACAGAATTAAGATTAGAATGATTTTTGTATACTTGAAGAGGTTTGGTAGAAATCTGGCGCGTCACTTTGTTATGAATCAAGGATGAGTTGATTTTGTTCTTGATTTACATTTAGATCCTTTTTTGTAACATGAGGTTTAAAATAGGATTCAATTTGGTTTGTGTAGTTTATTTTTGAAACAAGGATGAATGGAGCAAGTTAATCTAAATCGGGATTTTGTCTTTTTTCGTTTAGATGGATTCAATATGATGTGTTGCTTTGTCAAAACCAAAAGTGAATTTGGTTAATTTGATTTTGATCCGAATTAAGAATTTGAGTCCAGATTCTTTTTTTTTTTTTTTTTTAACTCTGAAGAGATTTGTCTTACATTTATGTCACCTTTAATTTTTGTATGAACCTTGGAAGAACCTTTAAATAGTTTTTTTTAATCCTCATATCCATTTTATGAACCAGCCCCTGATAATTTGGTTTAGATTTGGTTTTGTTGCTTTCATTCGACAAACTGACCAAGTGCTTATCTTTTGATCCTGGAGTCCAGGTCACTTGTTGGGGGGGGAAAAAAAAATCATTGCTCAAAAATTTAGATTTGGTTTGAACCCTTTCAGTGTGACCTCAAGACAAATCAATTGTGCTTTAATTGCCATTCGGAACCAAAATGATTAATCTGGATCATTTTTCTGTTGGCTGAAATGGAGTCTGAAATAATACCTTTTAATGATTTCTCTTGGCAGTATTGCTTTCATTTTTTTTTTTTTTTAACAAAAAGACCTTCACGCTATTGTTCCGTCTTGTCAAGTGGTGCTAATGTGTAATAAGCTTAGTGTGAACAACTCACTTTAGGCATTTCATTGGCTCGCCCTCAAAAGGCAATCACAAGTAGGGTAATAAATATCTCGTGATAGTCTCGCGCCCTGAGGGGGTTGTCCCACCCCCGTCCCTTTTTTTTTTTTTTTTTGTGCTCCAAGCAGAGATTGCTATGTTTATGAATATGTTTTATCGCTCTACCACGCTCACTCAAAAAGGTCCGCGGCCCGGAGATGTCATGCGTCCCTTATCTTTTTATTTCGATCTCGCGCTATCAGGTTTCCACAAACGGTCGCGGGAGTGGGGCAAAAGTAAAAGTTTTGATATTCCAGGTATTCCCGAGAACTTCTTGAGCGAAGTGCTTTCAAATATCACTCAGCGGCTGCGCGTTGATTCTCATCAAGATTTTGCTGTTCTTTTCCACAGAGAAGGTGAAGCTTCGTGTGGAGTCACTGGTTCTTCATGTGGGGGTGGGGGGGGGGGGGAGAAAAAAAATCCATGTAGTAAGCAGCAACATTCTTTGATCTGGCTTTTGACTCACCGGAATCACCTGCTGTTTGCGCACACGTGGAATGTCCTTTGGGGATTTTGTATTTGTCACAACCATGATCAAAAGCACAATTTGTGTGTCTTGAGTTTCAGGTTTAACACTCCGGACCTTCAGGAAGGGCCATAAATGATTTAGTTGGCAGCGAATGCATTTTTAGGATCCCCAAAAATCAGCCCATTTTCTTGAATCCACACCAATTCGGATGTGTCATAACAGGACCCACAAAAAATCCTTACGCACGAAAATTTATCAGAAATTGGTGTTTTTCGTCATCGTTATTTAGTTGCGTCGTTTCAGTTTGTTTTCGTTCTTCTAAAAGCATTTATTTTATTCTCTTCACAAAAAATGTTTTTTTCAGTTCTAATTTTAGTTTTTTTTGTTGGTTTTCAACCTTGACAGGAAGTAGCCCATTTTATTTTGAAGGAGCCATTCTGGACCAATTTCAGGCTTTTTACTTGGGAATTCGCCCAAATAAACTCCATTTGGAGGCAGTTATGATGGCCATGTGGCAAATGCTAAATTGCAAACCTTTTTAGAATCATTTAAAAAAATCACGCACACAAAATTATCTACGTTTACCGTAAATGCTCCTGTACTCTTTTCAAAGTGTTTCAGAGTTGCAGATGTGCTACGATAACAAAGTCGTTGACTGGCCTAACCATCTCTTGACACGACACCTGCACAGCTGCAACAAAGAGGTACGATTAGCACTTCTCTTTTATGTCGACGAATGTCCATAAATAGCAACGGGGGAGATGAACGTAAACTGACTCACTTGGAAGCCAATCAACCCGCCGGCGCGCCGGTCAGAGTGCTGATTCTCGGCATAGTTGATTGCACTCTCATAACATCCCTGCGTTGATTTTTTTGGTTTTGGCCTGGCGCGCAAAACAAGAGCGTGAATCACCCAAAAACCCGCTGGCCTGGCAGACAGCGGAGTCATTATTACCGAACTCACTGGAATCCATTTCACTCGCCGCTCGGGCGTAGGTTGTGCGTTGTCGACGGCAAGGTCAAACGTTGGTCCCGTGTAATTTGCCTGCGAGATGAAACCCGACTCTGTCGCGAGGCGCCGGCGCAAGCCAGCGTTTTCAAAGCTGCAGGAAATCTATTAGCACCTGGCGGGACTCCCTCGTCCGCCCCCGATGTGGACGTTCACCTCCCCGTGCCCCACCCTGGTCCATAAAAGCACGCGAGACCGCCGCACTCCTGCTGTGACACTAAAGCCAGGGGATTCGATGGTGTGTGTGGTGGTGTGTGTGTGTGTGTGTGTGTGTGTGTGTGTGTGTGTGTGTGTGTGTGTGTGTGTGCACACGTGGAGCTAGTTAGCGGCGAACAAGCTGCCAGACAAGCAGCTGCTACGCTAATAGTGGCTCTTGCATGTACAGTAGGCGGCGGTTGAGCGCTGACTTTCGGTCAGATCAGGCTGGAGACCAGGCCAGTGCCCCCCGTGACCGTTTTTATCTCACAAATGCCAGCACAAATACGGACCCCCAAAAAAATGGAAGAATTCATCTTTTTTTTATGAGCTGGCCGGCAGCGTGTTTGCTTAAGCGCTGGATTTCACGTCAACAATCCTCAGGGCAACTCCCCCCCCCGCAGGACGCTCTGCCAAACTTCCTTCAAAGTCCATTTGTCTTATTTTGTTCTCAGAGTATTCCCGACTTGTCACTGCCTTGAGAAAAGTCCCCCGCGCTTGATTGAGTCTGGCAAGCCAGGGGGTCAGGGGCAGTTTACTCTGGCCCTCGTGTTGCCTGACATCTCGGGACGCATTGCGAGATAAAGTACGTGTCCGCTCATGTATCAGTTTTTTTTTTTTTTTTTTTTTTTCTTTTCAGGAAGTGAACTTTGTCACCGGCTTTTGAAGCGGGTAAAGGAAGAGTAAATCCTTATCTGGCTTGTGTTTCCAGAGGCAGGGCCGTGTTTAGGATGGGTCGAGCTGCTTTAGCTCACGTCGTAGCCGGCGGCGCTGCAGGTGAGTTTGTTTTCCCTTGCCCCCCCTTCTTAAAAGGTATCAAAAAGTAGTACGGGTGAATTTCTTGAGGCCCCTTCCCAAGTTTAGAAATGGAACCTCCGGCACACCCAAACAAACAAAACTAACTGATTGAAAGTTTACTCTTGACCCACTCCAGAATTTCACCTGAACTGCCAGGTACCTTCCAGTCACCAGTGAGACTTTCAGGACCTGTTTTTCGGCGGGGTTCTGTGCATTTTTGTCCCACGCAGGTCATTTTGATTTTCTGTCCAATGTACGTCCGCTCTCCGCTCCTCACGTTGCTCGCAGGGCTGTAAAGTAGAAGCAGAACCCCGAAGCGGAGGTCTTGGCATCCACCGTC